AAAGACAAAATAAAGCATGATGATCAGGCCTGAATTGCATGCTCATTTCAGATGAAGATATCATGGAAGAAGTCCCAGCGGGTTTCTGAGGATATGAAATGCATGTTGCTAAAGTTATTTGCTACTGCTATTACTACTGCGGGTGCTTTTCGATTTGGTCCTATGCTTCCAGTATTAATGTCCAAGCCAAGCTTAAGTCACAAAGTATGCTGTGATAAGATAGAACAGAGATCCATTAAATTGAGAAACAGATTGGATTATATGTAAAAGTAAACATAAGGCCACTAAAATGAACAAAATGAAAGAAAAAATGGGAGAATCCGGCGTCCTTTAATCCTCATTTCTATTTTCTTTCGTCGTATTTTCCGCTCATTATAAATGAATTACATTTATTTAAACAAAAGCACATTCTTTCGCATTAATTCATCGAATTGAACTGGATCGGATCGAATCGAGTCGCTCTTTTCAATCTCAAATAGAATGACTATTAATTCCTTCCAGGAGATATGTTGCTACTACTACTGTCTTCAAAATATCCCTCATTTCCTAATCAACATGAAAATGCCATTACTATCGAATGAATAGTTTCTTCTCGTCCTCATTCTCATTCAGTGGCAGTTTTTTCCTCTTCTAGGGAAAAGGATTGATTACGCAACAAATTAAGCAAATATGTCAGCGAAATGTAGATTAAATTATGCAGTTGGGAAAAGGACTACTATACATTAGGTGAGAAGGGGAGCACTTTTGTGAATAGTGAATGGAATGGAATGAAATCGAATAATTCACATTCATTCAATATTCTATCTTTTCTCTCCACTATGCCTCCATTATTTTTCTCGGCGTAGTAATTTCCCTTCCCCGTGATTGATGATCCATCCAGGATTGAAAATTTTTTCTTGCAGTGTCAGGTTTCTGTGAGGTTCATATCTGCGGAAAAATAAATCTGTTCGTCAAATTATGATATTAGATGCGCTTGTTTTTTCGTAATATAGGAAATGATTGTCATATTTGACGAGATACAAGGTTTTTAAATTAAAGCATGAGTCAACAAATGGAAATAATTCAGGAAAATTTTGACCATTGGTACGGTAGACGCGAATTTTGGCTATATGATGTCAAAATCAGACTTTTTTAAACCTTTTTCATACATCACTTCCATGAATAGCCATAATCGTAAGTCTCTTTAAGGTATATTTATCGACACAAGTAATTTTACTTCCAATGAAAGATGTATGAAAAAGGCTTAAGATGCCAAACTATTTCGATTAATTCATCTTGGTGAAGAACTACTGGTGATTTATATTTAGTTCGAATAATTTTTTTTATTCCTTCACATACGATGAAATAAAATTCCATCGTATGTGAAATTCAAAAAATTAGCTTTCGGAAAACTGTAATCTATTACTGATAAAGAAATGATTAGAAGAGGATAAACTGGAACATATCACAGTTTCACATCGTGCAACACTTCCAATTATCCTACATTACGCACAATATCAGAATTTTTGACACCAAAAACGAGGAAAATAATTTCGACCATCTCCTCTCAAATGAATAGAATACGTAATTTAAGACTGGATTAAAACTTCTGAATAATTAGACTTTCTGAAAATGAATAAAATCTTGATATTAAAGTTAAAATTACGTGTAAATCATTGACATTAAAAAAAAAATAATCCGATTGTTTAAAAAAAAATTCCGTCATCCAATCAGAAAGCATGCAACGGAATTGCTCTAGTTAATTTTAATACAATTTAGTCATAGAAATAATGAATGAGTCGCTTTGTTGGTTTAAAATGTGAATCGATGATAGAACCATCTACGCAATAGCATTAGCGCACGAAATAGTGGGCCGAGAATGACGTATTTTGGAGGATTAATGGCGAGGAACCTCCGAAATTACCCTTTTGCAAAATAAACACAGTGTGAGCCACTTCATTGTGCAATTGATATTTACATATGGATATGTATGTGCAATTGCTAGAAATGTTGCGCTGTGCCACAACCGCACTAAGCATAGTTTGATATGACTGACTTTCGCTCATTTCCAATTTTGATATCACTTAGCAAATGAATCATGCAAAGAACTTCTTTTCTTTTTTGGCAAAATATAAAAAAATTCATGGAGTGAGAGGAAAAGGAGAAAGAGAAGAGATCGGTTCAAACTATTTAGCCAAGTTGAAACTTTATCGGAAGAGTTAAAGTGTTGGAAAGGCAAGTGATGCAATATTAGACATTTCTATTTACATTTGCATTTTTATGAAAACGATCACTAAACTTATCAAATTATATTTCGTTATGATATAAACTTCCAAATATAACTCTAACACTAAAGAGGAACTGAAGCACATTATGTACAATCGCTGTTAATTAAAATGTAAAAGAAAATTGTATAACATGTTTTACATTAAAATTTGCAAAAAAAAAGAACAGAAAAATAATACTATTTTTGAAAGTCTATTTCAGATTTGCAACTAATCTTTAAATGTTAAAACTTGAACAGATAGAATCGATAGCGAAAATTCCTGTATTCAAAAGCAACAACAAACTTTCGACGATGCCGTTTATAAAATTTTCATGTTTCATCTGAAAATCTAACGTGTTAATGGCTTTTCAAGTGCATCAGAAAGAAAAAAGATATGTTCCAGTAGTTATGTTGAAACAAGATTGATTGATAATGAATCGGTTGATAATCAGCGATGGATTGAAAAGGAGATATCAAAGGGAAATTAGTTGTGATAAGATAGTAAGCATAACTTCAAAATTATTCATAATTCTTTTTCAGTTTCTTAATTAAATCTTCGACATTACCAGCTTGCATATAAATACGAGATATTTGCAATTTCGTTGTTTTCTTCAAATGTGAGAAGACAATTCTCCAAGCACACAGTTTCACTTCTACTTTTCGTCTTCATCCAACCTGTTATCTTTTCTCAGCTTGGTATCTTGAACTTCCAACAATCTATTCTCATTCAATTTCCGTCAGTAATGCAAATGCAGATTTCATAACATCACCATACTTTATTAAATTGTCGATTTTTAAAGTTTTTTTTTCAAAGAATTCTGCTTCTTATTCCCATATTTGTTAAGAAATTCTGAAAATAAGTTAAAAATTAAACCGCATAAAAGTTTGATTGCTAACGTTCTCCAGCTCAACTGTAGTTTCAATTAAGTAATTGGTCAAACTTTACTCAGACCTATTTAAATTATTCCAAATATATATTTCGTAAATGATTCGAATCATGTTATTTACTTTATTCAAAAGAGTTCAATAATGTTTAAGGAGCATTAATTCATGTCAAATTCTTTCTGCAATCTATTAATGGTCAGCTTTTAGCTACAAAACTTCCACTGATTGCAACAAAAAATTGATTTATGGTACAGCCATTATCGCTATACTTTCGGAAATTATTTACAGGAAAAAAGGAGTGACAGGCAATATCATAGCACTTTATCTCAAATTTGGTATTATCAAGTTCCAACTTTTATTTATTAAATGTTAGTTTCATTGAAAAGAAAGATCATCTATTTGGTAATCATTAAAATCTTTTATTCCATTTGTCAAATAAACAAGTAGAAGCCGAGTGTCAGTTCCACTAAAACAGAGAAATACACCCATCATTCAACCTCATTCACATAAAATTAGAAATTTTTTATGAATTAACCATTTAGGAACAAATCCAAATGCCAACACAACAAATAAAAACACGCATGAAGTCAGAAATAAAAATTTAATCTGATGAAATTGAAATCAGGCTAAAATTTTCGAGTTTAGTTTATATCTTACATAAAATATAAAATAAAAGAATGTGAAGTGTCAACAAAATACTATTCTTAACAGAAAGCATGTTTTCCTCTTTCTCTTTCATATAAAATCAATGGATGTAATAGGATGAGTACCAATTCCATTTACTCATTAAAATGACTCATTTTAATGAGTAAATGAAGTTGATAGTCCAGTCAAATCCAACATCAAATAATTAGCAATGATGATGGAAACATTTATTCTGCAAATAAATTGACACATAAAGAAGTGCGCGCATGTTATGACAGTTCAATAAATTTAGAGAAATTTTCAATAACACGAGTAATAATACAGAAATAGTCCATCGTTAATATTATTTGCAAGGATGGATACAAGAAAAAGGATACTGTGCTCATCTTTCAAAATTCCTAAATTTCTTTGTTTATAACAATCATATGATACAATCCATCAGAATGAACACATTTTCAAGAGATTTATATGCAATGGAATGTATATAGAACGGATTTTAATTAACCGATCGACAACGAATTTCTCTACTATATACATATGTATCTTTTACGAAGATCAATAATATACCGATCCTACTGATAAATCCCAACGACTATAATCAAGCATATAAATTACTTTTATCTTAGCGGAAAAAACAGACTTCTACTGTCTCTCCTTTCTCTTCCTGCTTTCAACCATTTCATCACGTTACATGTTAACATGGGCCATCAAAGATATACGTTGGGGACGAAAAACAGAATCCAACATGTTTCTTTTGTTTCTCTGACACTACAACCAGATTTTTATCTTAAAATATATCTCATTTAACGTTGCTAAGATGTGTAGGATTCAATAATCCACGAAAATGCAGGTTACAGAATCCAAAGAGCCTACATCCCAAATAGTAAGTATTGAAAGATTGTTTAAACTCCACACAACAAGTAAACTCAAGATCACAATTATATCATATTTTAGTTTTTAGTGAATTTTTCTCGACATATGTTAATCGAAGTGATCAAAGTGAAAACCTGTTAATCATTAAAATGAAAAAACCTAGATACATATTTAAAGCTTGAAATTTTTCGTACCTTTTCCAGGGTTGCACGACCATCAAGATCGATGACAAACTAGGAGAATAAATGTTAAAACATTCGGAGACCACTATTTTTGCAAATGTCTATTCAAAATCTTATTATGTTCTAACTGTTATGAAAGCATCAGAGGTATACAATCTTGTGGCAAGATGTCACCGTTCGAAGGTTGCTATTGCTTCATCCCATGGTCCATGTTTTGTACTGAAACATACTGGATTTGGTGAAATACTAAATTTTTTCACAAAAATGAACACTTCATTCGCAGGAAAATAAAAAGAGGGACAAATTCTAAATTTTACTGAACTTTTGATATTCTTTACATAGCGAAAACTATATCTTTCGTTTGAGGGAAAATTCTAAGGTAAAATGCAAAAACCTTGAAGTCTCTCGTACCTTTTCCAGGGCTGCATGATCATCAAGATCGATGGGCAAATTAGGAGAACAAATGCTAACACAAGTACGTAAAGGACACTGAGTGAATGGGAAAGCTGGTGTAGTGCACAGAAAAGTAGAGGAGAAGAGAAAATGATCAGGATTAACGACGATTTTGACCATTTCCTGTACAATATATTACGCATTTGTGGCCAGTATGAAAAAAGAAGCATGGAAAGAGCCAGAAGACTAAATGCAGATTCATTCGATGATACCCGTGAAACCAAACAAACTGAAGCTGCTAAAGAAAGATTGACCGATAATATCGTTGAAACCCTGCAAAGTTATCAATTTTTTCTAGTAAATTCTGAGTCTAGAATCGTTTGATTTCTACAATTTGGAATAACAATAGCAAGATGCAGCATTTGTGTTTATGTCAATGAATTCTGTGTGAAAATTTGGAGAAATTAGCTATACATGTTTAATTTGAATAAGTGTTGATTTCACTGGCTTACTATTAGAGACATATGGTACAAACAAATTTTTATTTTCCCAATCATTTGATTAGAAAAAAGAGAGTATGACTTACAGTGGCGCAATCATCGCGTAGTCATGGAAAACAAAGCTCGTAAGAAAGAGTATGAAAGACATTGCGTATATGGTATCTGTACTAATTGTATCCGTCAATGTCCTTAAGAAAAATTTTTCGAATTATGCTTTTTATGCACAAACGAAGACTTCTAAATCTGTTAATGATATCTAAAATGATGGATAAATTTCAAATGGTAAAATAGAACAAACCTAATAACGGGTGTCAACACATAGCCAAAACAAAGAAGCGTAATGAAAGTGTAGAAGTGATCCTGAAGATTCCTCGGTCTGATCATATACAGATAGATAGTGTACAGAATCAAGGCAATGGCAAATATCAACGAAAAATGCTGGACGAAACTTATAGAACTGTTTTTGATGGAATCGAACACCAAATAATAAAATATAATAGCATTAGAGTGAAGCATGACAAGACTGGCACCGCATACTGCTTCCACAAATGAGTATTCCACCACTGTTACTAAAATTAGAATTCGACAAGAAAAAGAAATAAATTCCATGGACATTATTTAAGTGAAGGCAGAAAAGAGATCAGAAATGCTGAAAGAAATTATTTGAAAATTCGGAAAGCTCGGACCAATTATATAGTTAACATCTTCCAACGAAACCTATCCATACTGATTTATAGATTGCTGTGAATTGACATTTAAATTCGGAAATATTTCCAAATCTACCTGTCCGGAGACTATATCAGTAACTATCAACTGATTAAAACGAAACAAAATAATGTTGAAAACGTCAGTAGTCAAATCTTTATATTATCACATTGGTTAGATGCAAAGCGAATAAATTTTAATACCTACATCCTGATAGAGAGGAACAGGAAGTAGTTGGAGTAAACTCACTATTCGTTCTCAATTCCTTCAGAAACTCACTACCACCACTGTATTCATCTTCAAACGGTTGTCGTTCATACAATATTTTCCGCCACTTCTTTCCCTTATTCTGTTCGCAACAAACGCTTTTTCTTCCACCCATCGACCTCCGGAGGGCATTCAGTTTGTTACCTAAAGCACGGCAACCTGTAGCATTATTACCGAGATTTCCTCCCCCTACCAAATATTTCGGATGTACAGAAATGAGGTATGGCATGTATGGGTGGATATATAAGACTTTATGAACAAGTAAATTGTAACTTGCACTTGAAACTTCAAAGAAATGAAAACAGAAGTATTGGAATGCCCGGAGAATAATTTAAGGAGCGTCCTGTTTGAGGTGTTCAAAAAATTACTAATTTTCCTTGTCCTCTATGTTTTGCTTGCACATGTATGGATGGACTTATAAGCATGACAGTACGTACGTGTGTACTTATAGGTATTAGCTATCAGCTGTGTCAGTGCTTAAAACTTTTTCCATTATGATTTAGGCGGAATAGTCTTACTGACATAGATGGATCAGTTCTTACTAACATAGATGAATCAATGACAACATTGAAAATGTTTGTATGGTGATTGAGACTTGTGAACCAGAATTAAAGGATGATTTATTACAGGTGTATGCATACATGGCGATGAGGAATAAAAAACGAGAACTAGAAGAGAAAGGCTGTAAACGATGGCAACAGCTGGGGCTAAATGCTTATGTGGGATGGCGAACAGGACTATTAGCGTACTTGAGAGATAGCCTAGAAAGAAATGAAGTGGTTGAACCTCGCACAACCTTATTACTCGCCATTGTCGCACGTTTGCCACTTAATCCACGCTGTGGTTGGTCCCTTCTATGATCAGATTGTTTCATTTTGCAAGATCATATCAAGTCTTAAGGAAAATATCTCAACAATAAATTGCTAGAAGTGTTTTATGCAGCAGGAGATAAAAGATAAATACCGGTTGCATAATATTTGAATACTTAAAGTACAAAAAATGACACTTGTGCATATGACATTGACATTAACTTTAGTTACGTAGAACTTACACGTGTGGACAAATTCAGAATGGTTTTGAAATTTAACATTTTGAAATTTGACTTTCACCTATATTACATCTTCACTTCTTTAAAGTCTTTTCCACATTTGTATAAGTACAAACAACAATGTTTCGGACGATACGTATATTCATTCCCTCAAGAGTTGGGATATTAAACTACACTAACGGAAGATAAGTGAAGCGTTATGGGAATCGTAAGTCATTCCAAAACTTGTTGAGTCTTTACAGGATTAGAAGGACACAGCAAGGAAATAGCTGCGAAGTTGGCTGATTATTTGGGGAAATTTCCATCGTCTTCTCTCTTCGCTGAAATATCTTTTTGTGACGCACAGCTCTTGTCAAACTTGCAGTGTGAACGCTGTAATGAAGAAGAAAACATTAATGAAAATGAAAAGGATGATAAATTTTGTAAAAGAAAACAACGAAGTGTTGTAAGACACAGTTTTTTTTTTTTTCTGGCTATTGAACGAGGAAATTCCTATTAAAAAAAGTGCAGAATACGAACTAACAACTTCTCTAATTGAAAAAATTCTACCATAATTTCATGATGTCCATATCTCACTTTATGATCAGTTCCATGCTTTATTAAATGCATTTTATAGATGGTTGGCTGGGATAACATTTTTCACCTTGATCAGGATGAATTTACAGTGGAACAGGAATCAGCAGCTATCCTTAAAGGTATTTATGTGAAGTAGTAAACGATTGCTTTTTTTATCCGCTTGTGTGCGAAATTTTTGCGCACAAGCGAATAAAAATAATTCAGTAGGATCAATTCAAGACGTTGAAAAATTATTTATATTTCGTGTGTTTAGCAAAATCTTTTGGACTAGAGGGATCCTAGTTGTTTACATATCACAGAAAATTAAAATAAGAAAACTTTCGTGAAATCTTACTTTCAACAACTTTTTAAAGGACTAAAAGATGAAGAAATACTACATTGCTCAAAGCTAGAAAGTTTGCATTGTAATATTTCACATGAACAAAAACCATCACCATTCCTACCTATTCGTTTTGACCAGAAGTCGAAATAAACTATTTTGCATTGAAGATTCGGCTCTGAAAATAATGTATTATAAAATGGTTGATCATTCGCCTGATGCAATATCTGAATTTGAAACTTTTGCGCATTCGTTGTCAATATTCGCTCGATTGATTGAAGACAGTAGTATCTATGGTTTCGTTGTAAAGCAACTTTTGTCGCATGATTTTCCAAGTTAGTTCATTGTATTTTCTGATAGTTTCAAGAATAGGTAAGTGTGCAGTTATTTTGTTTAATATAATGATTTTCCACAAATGAAAGGAAAAAAGGAACAACCTAAGGTGCATTTCTTCTAGTTCCAAAATTAATTTAAGATATTAAAACTCTAATTTAATCACATTCTTTGTTTTGTTTGAATCTTATAGTTACTGGCAAAAATAAACAAGTTATTATTGCTTGGGAAGTGATGCTGTCTTTACTTCTAAGAGGCTCGACAAATTTTTTACGCAGCGAATCTGATATCTCCGGTTTTCCGTTTCGAAGGGTTGTAATCGAATGCATTATTTGTTGTGCAGCAAAGGTCTGTATATTTTTACTGAGGATTTGGGTAATACATTCAAGTAGCGTCCGGTTTTAAATGTCAAAACCAAAGTTCTAACTTTGCTATTTTTTGTAATTTGAGCGTAAATTAAATACATTACAGTGAGCAAATTCTTTGTTTCAGATAGCTAATAACATAAATGCTTACATGTGTTCCAGTAGTATGAATTTTGAATTACGCACTGATTGTTATAGCTTATTCGATGGAATCATAAAATATTACAGGTGAAGTACAACTTTAGTAATATTTCACAGCTTCTGTAAAGACAAATATGTTTTTGAAGTGTCTTAAAAATATAATTATAAAATTTAAAGGACTTTGATTTTGCGTTTGGAAAGTTACAAATTTTTAAAAATGTTTAACTTCTGAAAATATGGTGGATATTAAAGCTTCCTTTCAGATTATTGATCACAGTGTTTGACATTCTTATGTTGTCTCTCAAATCAAAGCATGCTTCGAAAAGAATATTTTCGAGTGTAACAAATTCTATTTTTCTGTGTAGAAAGGAACAGTTCATTTCATTAGTACGAGAATTATTTATTTTCATCGAATATCTCCCTTCTTCATTTGTTGTTAGTATTATTAGCTATTTCTCCAATTATATTGTACAGTATTCTAATCGAATTGCTTTGCTGAAGAAATCATTGCCGAAGTCAAAACTTGATTTTAAGGTTACATTGTTTTTATTCTTTTTATGCTATTTAATTTTTCTTGTTATCCTAACAATCATTCGTTTCTATCTCCTATTATTTTTCTAACCTTTTTTTTCTCCAGAAATCACAATTAGGAGCGAATACTGTTCAAATAGTACAGATAGTTTAAAATAAAAAATTGCAGAACTTATTAAAAAGATAAAAAATTACAGTGATAAAGGGAGGGAAAACACAAGAAGGATGAATATGAGGCAGAGATTGAGTTAAAAACTACATAAGATATGGTACTGTTTTGGCAAATCACTTTGCGTATATGGAAACTTCTCGCAACAGTATTTAGAGCAGAGACAGTAGTTTTTTTCTGATAGAATTGAATTTTATAGGAAAATGGCAAACGATTTCCTTATTTTGATGTGCAGTGTGCATATAAATTCGTGCATGACATCGTTACAGAAATCGTAACGAACTGTTCCGAAGAGTTTGTTTTTTTATTTTATTTTATTTTTTACTTATTTATTTATTTTTTTTTTTTTTTTTGTAAAGCAAAATTAGATAGAGGCTTCTGCTGCTAAAATTCTTATTTATTAATGGCATCTGATAAACTAAAAATTTGAGCTTTATGTAATTCTGTGAACGCATATAATTTCTTTTGTAATCTGGACTTGAAACATAATATAATTTTCTAATTGACAATTGAAGTTGTTTCAAAAATTTTACTTGAGAACATTAAGCTATTTACAGAGCTGTACTCTCAGAAATTCTTAGTTGTGCTCTCTCTCTACCGGATGAATATTATTCCTTCATAGGTATTAAATCAGTCTTTACAACATTCCTCTCAGCTCATCTACTAGATAATTTTATTGACCGATGTGCAGAAATTATTGCTAAGCAGCAGCATAATTTTGACAGACGGTAAATTTTTTAACAAATAAAAGAGATTATATCTATTAATTCAGTCAAATAGAGAGAAAACAGCATTATCTTGTTTTTTAATTTAAAAAAGATGGGTTTTTAATATATTTTTTAAAAAGTATTATTGCAGAACTGTTACTGCAATGCCGAGCGCATTCCTAGTATCATTACAAAATCGAATTGGAAATTTTCAGGGAGCGAAATTTATTTGTCTTTTACAAACGCTTTCGTCAATTTGTCCATGTAATTTCTCAGTATTCTGATTATTTATTAAAATTCAGCACTCAAATTATTTCAAATTAAGATTAATTTTTATGACTTAGAGAATAGTCAATGAAAATAAGTGAAAATTATTGAAACATTAAAGGGTATGCAAAAAGCATACCAGTTCTTACATTTCTATTCCCTTCTTCATCCGAATAGTCATCTGGGTACGAATGATATAATTTGAGATAGAAAAACTCATTTTACTTTCCAATAGATTCTTATTTATTTTCTGGAATAGTAGATATCAATATAACTGAGTGATATTTGGTATCAACACCACTAAGTAAGACGGAAGAAAATCCACTTCCGAAACGAGATAGGTCAATATGCCGATATTCGAAAGTTCGAAGCTTAGGTCCGAAAAATTGTAACTAACATGACCGTCGCAATAGAAAAATTATTTGGTCAGAATCTCCATTTTTATTTGAAGTTCAGGAGTGGAATATTTTTTCCAGAATATATGTTGAAATAGTTCTCTTTTCTTTCAGTTCTGCTAGTACAAGATGTAGAAATTATCTGTCTGGCAATTTTAAATCGTTTCAAAAATGAGTCATCACTTTCTAAAAAATGGAATGACAGTGCCAAACTGAACGATATCTCAATCCATTGTGATGCGATGGCTGATTTTCTTGCTGAATACTTATTCGGACAAAAGGCTATCGAATTTGCTGTTAGGTCTAGTTAATTTTAAAGTTGCTTTCAAGATTATACCTACTTTAAGCTTTTTCTGTTAGTATAAAAAAATTCCAGAAACTGTTTAATATTCGTAGAATAGAAGCACAACATCATCACTAGTTAAACAGACACTGGTCATTCTGAATTAACGTGATATTGGGGTACGTAAGATTCACGTGTTTATTTGCAGTTGAGTAGTAGATCATATATTGATTATAAACTTTGCAAAAAATTTGCTGAATTTCAGTGATGTGATTTTACCGTGTATGGCACTTCTTGAAACATCTGCTGCATCATTCAACCTTGTATATATTATTTGTAAACGATCTATTATTGTTGGAAGTAATCTGATCAGTTCCAAAAGTGTAGGTGTCTTTTGTCCTGGCAATATTCTTAGTTACACTTTTTTATAAATTCATTCTTTACAAGGACATCATATATCATTCTCTCTATCAGCCGTTCCAAATTTTATTTTAGAAGTTTGCTTTCTTATTTTAAAAATTTTCATATTTAGGAGTATTTTATCATCTTTTTATAGGTTGAAGATTTAGCAAAATCAATAAGTGATCGACTTTCTCGAGAACTGACTTATCCTAGTCCGGATATCTGGACGTTAATTGGCATTACTGATTTTGCAATTCCGCTGCTTCATGTTGCTGATCTCCTACTACTTCTGCTGTCTTACTGCACGGAGAAAGGTTCAACTGTTACTATTGATTGAGAAAAAATTAATACAGTTCAAACATCTTGAAAATCAAATATTATATTTGGTAAAACTTTGTCCTTTAATATGAACATATGAGGATTTCTATGTAAAATGGTAATTTAACTCAACAGTTATCTTTCATTCTGTCGTTCAGTGGCTGGAGAATGAGGTGGAATTATTTTATGCATCGATGCTTATTTTGCATATTTGCAGATATTGTTATTGTTGAATATAGTGTACTTTACAAATTAACTTCAGAAAGTTTTTGCAGTTTTGCCATCTGGATTTCTGATATGCGCTAAACAATATAGCTCAACGTTAGTTTGTATTACTATGGATTGGATGCTAGCACCCAATGAAGTTGACTCACACATGCTTCGGATAAGTCAACTATTTAGTGTATCATTACGAATTGTTTTTGCAACAAATGTGGCTGAGGTGAACTTTTTGCAGAAGATACTATAAATTTTGTTTTCTGCAGACTCAGTTTGGGTAAATTTAAAGAGCAGTATATTCAGAAAATAAGTGGAAAAGAAAGACCAAGGTCTAGTTTTGTATGAAATTCGTTTGTACGTGACTTATTTTCCATAATTTGAATAAAGATTTAGGAAAATCCAATGGAATGGATACAATCCAAGTTGCTGAATAATGAGCTGTTCATTTCCAATATACGGTTGTTAGAGTGCTTTATACGGGTATTGTTTCTCAAGACGTATTCACCTATTCAGAGTAACCACTCTAGAGACCTATCATCTATTATTGATACAGTTAAAAGTCGGTTTTGAATTCATTTGAATTTTATATTAAGTATCTAATTTCTATAACAGGAACGATTCATTTCTGACTAGGTATTTATATATCAAAATATCTTTTTTTACAACTTGTTTATTTTCAGTGGTTTCAGCTTATACTATTTCATTTCTTGATAGCCTTTATATAAAAATGTTAAAAAAGTGAATATAAAACCATTCTCATGCTTTATAATTCAATAAAATAACAGATAAGTTTTACTCAATTTAGATTATGTCCTAATCTTTAGTTATTTGTGATGTGAAGCAAATCAAAGTATAATTACTTATAAATCATTTCTCATATTTTCCCAGTTTCTAGGTGCTGATAAATTTTATTCGCAATTATCTGTTGTTTCAATATTACTGCTTCAAAAGCACATTCAAGTTAAGCGTAGTGTATCATCGAATAATGAGTATTATATTCGCAAGATATGTGGTACTCTTCAACATGCAATGTTAAATGCTCAATTTGATAAAAACGTTCTTTTTAGTAAAGTAAGCCATGCTTTACCAAATTTTTTTTTCACAATATGCCTTGTATCTTGTTTTTTCAGAGATTGTCAACTAGAAAATTTTTAGTCATTTTCTTTATTAATTAGCGGAAGTACTCTTATAAAATGATTTACAGCTAAATCGTCTCATTTTGCATTTGTTGCGGACGCTAGCTGAAATATCAGTGTCTTCTAACTGTTTTCGGGTTTCACTTACATTCTATTTTAATTTCATTTCTACAAATCTTACACCGTCAGATATACGAAATGTTTTTGCAATTGTAAGGAATGCTCGTTATTTGCAGGTATCATATTCAAAGTTTTAGAAAATAACTTTTTTTGTATATTTTTTCTATAAAGGAGAGGAAACTACCAGAGCGCTTTTAGTATTTTAGTAATATGTTAGTTACATCTGTACAGCACTTTATTTACTTCGTTTGAATAAAACGCAACTGTTTAATAGTTACGGAATTACGATCTGTGTTATATCCATCGAAGATAAAAAACAGCAAATGATGAGTATGTATTGACAAAGTTTTGTGGACAACATGTTAATGTAATTTAATTTTCAAAAATTTTCATTTTGGGAACAAATTTTACTAATAATTTGAAGGTAGCGCTAACAGAAGTTTTATTGGGATTATTGCCAAACGAAAAAGTTGAACCAAAAGATGTCTATGTTTTTCCACAAAAAATCCATGCGCATATGAGAATTAACTGCGACGGAACAGTGCTAAATAACTTACAATTTGATGGAAGTGATTGGGTAGAATGCTCTTTTTATACTGAACTTATACTTTTATTATAATTTATTAAAATAATTATTCTTTCGAAAATTAGTTAATTCATGTTTATACTAAGTCAAAACGCCAGCCGCTAAAGATTGCTGGATAATTGAATACATTTCAGAAAGGGAAATCGGCGCCATCATGGAGTGCTTCACTTTGTAATGAACACACTGAGGACATGCATAATGCTAAATTATTTTCTGGATCTTTAAGCAATTTAGCAGTCAGTAAACATGAAGACGATTCTTTCGATGGATGTTGTGCTGCAAAACTTGCTCTTGATTGGTCATTATGTTTATTCGATGGACTTACTGTTTCTTTTTGGTTGTTGCCACAGAAATGCAAGAAAAGGGTGGGATACATTCAGATTTTAATATTGAATTTTGCAGACCCACTTCATGATAATGATTTGGATTTCCAGCCGTCTCGTCATATTACTTTCTAATAACTCAGAATTGATTAGTTCGACATTCCTTTGTAAATGCTTCTATTAAATTTATGCTTAAGATACTAATAGATGGTGTAAATATGTGTCAAACATTTATTGCTCTTTTAATCTAGTTGCTTTCTAAAAAGTTATACATATTCTGTTGCAATAAAAAATCGTTGATGAAAATCGATTTAGGAAATTGTTGGCAGTTTAGAGCAGGTTTATCCAGTTTGTTCAGTGGATACTAATAATTTGAGTTTCCTGCTTCAAGTGTCATTCGATAGCCGCACTTTACATGTGAGGTATTGCTTACCTAAAGTTTTTTTTTTTCTGTTATGTCATTTTTTGTGCGAGTGAAATCTTTAGGCAGTAAATTTACCTGGGGAATTTCTGTACTTGAATAAGCATAACGTACGTTAAAATTGATAGGAGAATGTCCATAAGACTTAAATCCTTATTCCACCAACACCTAACATCCATTGCTTAAAAACTTTATTCCTGTATTATGTTATTTCTGATTAATAATAAATATCCTGTAATCTTTGAGTATTACTCTCAACGGTGAAGTAAAGCAGAGAAGATGTCTTCCATCAGTATTGACGGATGATGCCTGGAACCATATTGTAGTGTCAGTGGTTGTCGTTGACTCGATGCTTTCAGTGCATGTTAGTTTTTTTTTATTTCATTTAAAGTATAGAAAAATTCCTTTTGTATTCAATGGAATTTTATGCAGTTTTTTTTCACTGCAGTTTGTTAGTTTTTTTATTCAAAAAAAAGCTAACAAATGAGCTTGGTTCTAGACTTTCACCTTAAAGCAGACTCGCTTTAATAGTTAGTTAAGAATTCTTAATCTGATGTTTTTCTTGTTCATTCATATTGTTTAGCTTTTCGCATTATGATTTTGCAGATTATAGGTTTGGATTAATTCGCAGCGTTTCATCATGCGTGTGAAACATAAATGCGCAGTATCTTTAGAACAATTATCATTTGTGTTTGGCTTTGGTGCATTGCAAAAAGATCTGGTTTACTCGGAAACATTTTATGAATTATCACCAATTCTTTCATTTCGTGGTAATGTAGCGAACATAAAGTAACTGACTTTTAGCTTAGGACTTTATATATTATTTATTCTATTTCTAAGCTTTTTTAGTAATATAGGTAAATTTCCAACCTTTCTATTTGCATGACATCTTGTTGTCCAACAATCCTCATTTGAGAATGCTGGATGCCATAGTCACAGCGTTTACTTATGTTACAGATTCAGAGGAATAGTAAATGAAGACTAGTTCGGCCTAACATTTGTTTATGAAATTATCCTATAGCCTGTTAGTTAACCTTTTTTCAGGTTCTCTGAAAGCTCCACAAGTGCTTATCTTACGCGCCCTTGGCTGTGATTGCATTTCTTTGGCAGCATGTAATATCAGTTCTCTGATGTTGAGATTGACGTCTCTTTTGTCCTCTCAAAATCTGTTTGTTCAACAAAATGCCGTTCTTAAGCTTTTTGCCGATGTTGAAACTGCATTTGCTTGCCTTCAGCAAGATTTTCTTTTTGTTATAAGGTGTCTGTTCATATAATTCAGTTATTGTTTGTCCCTGTTTATCTGGTAGTATAAGCTTATTTCTCTACGCTGTGCAAAATAAGCGTCGTTCTAACGCGTTGATGTCATAACACCATGTAAGATGAAAGCGTGATTTGTAATATGGCTAAAAACTTTTTTAAACTTAATTCCTGAGTGGATGAACAAATCTCTGAATAATGATTATTTAGAGACCGAATGGCATATGTGCAACGAAAATGCTATTCACACAACACTAAGAAAAAATTGGAGCTTGATCCCTTACCTTCAACTGAAAGGCATCTCTTGGAATGGAATTGTCCAATGGTAAAGCGATTGGGGAAAACCTCTACCGCTGATTGCTGGCTTTCGCTTGGTTCACAAAATCTTTTTCTTTTTATGTTTGCAGAGGTTTCTTCTACTTTTATCGATTGTTGAATCGTGAAGAATGATATCAAGTTATACATGTCATATTGACTTCCTAAAATTGATGTTGGTTTAGATTGAACTCAACAACTATAAAACTCGCACATCTTTCTCCTTATAGTTTTTAATATGCAGCTTCATCGTCATAATTTTTAACACTTTACTGGAAGAATTCCGGTCCTGGTTTTTTTTTAATTTGTGTTTTCTAAAATCTGTCCAAAAATTCCAGGCTATTGACCTAAAACACAGTGCATATGAACAGGCAATTACCTTTCATCTGTTATTCCAATTTCTACGGCGAGTTAGTCCTTTCACAAGCGAATATACCTTTTCAAATGTGTATGACTGCGTAATACGATGTCTGTCATCGTCACTTGCCTGTCTCGGTGCTCAAATGCTTGAGGTAATCATATTATCCAGTTGCTAACAAAGTTTAATTGAAATTATTGGTATTCACTTATTTCAAATGATACAGAAAATGATGATTTACATGTGGTTCTTCAAATAACTGTAAGATTTCAGGAATTTCGAAGTACATGTATTTCATTACCACCCAGGATGAAATGTTCAAGTGGAAGATCGAAACAATGGTTCATTGTTGATCCAGAGCTCGTAGTACGTTTGGTTTGCGCTCCATGGATATGGTTTATTTTTTTCTTTAGCATCTTTATTATTTATTTACTAATGTCTTTAAGTTTATTCCTTGTAACATCTTCAGCAAGGTCTAATTTTTTTTTCTTGATGTTTTATGCTGGGTGTTTAGCTATGAGGTTGTTTGTGATTCTCAGATATCGAATATAATTACGATAATTCTTTTTTAATAATTCTTAATTCCAACTGAAATTGATATATTACGTTTAAATTTTACAGTGGTCATATTATCCACAGTACAATTAAAACTGTGATTTATTAAAAACTGTACGATTTACTTGCAGGAGAGGCCGGGAAAGAATGTTGCAATGGCGTATTATATTAGAAGATATTGCTCACTGCATCTCAGATGAAACAGCAGAATGTTCTGCATTCAGTAGGGGGCAGCTGAAGCGAGTCAGTTTTCTCAAAAAACTTTTTCAGGTAACAGAATTTTAACTTCGATGTTTAATGAAATAGATAAAGAGAACAGTGTTATTCCTTGTAACATCTTCAACAAGGTCTAATTTACCGATTTCATTCAATATTCAAAAAATCTTCACATTCACGACATTTTAAAATTATTCTTAAATTATAATATCAGTCATAAAGTCGGTCAAGCAAAATTAGCTTTCTTAAGCTTAATTTCAGGCCATTTTGGAAATGCTTCAAGATGATAAAAATTACCGAATTGAGATGCAAGATGTTACACCATTAACTGATACTCTATTAACAATTATTCGTATAATGCTAGGTTCATTAGCAGTAGCCGAAGGAATAATTCATCTTTGGAATTTTATATTCCTTTCTCATGCAGCTGCTTACACCTATATCACCTATGGCCATACTGATCATTTCCAATGGCTTCAGCAAGGTCCATCATTCATTACTTCATTTTTGTGAAGACAATTTAGAAGTAACTTAAAAGCGGAAATAATTCGTTACAATCGTTGAGACAAATAAACTCATTTCGTTTTCAACTTTTGACCAATTCACTCTGGTTTTGGCTAACTATTGTAACTCATCAAATTCCTATCAGTTTTAACCAAATGTGATTGCAGAATTATTACAAGAGGAATGCAAATTTGATTTGTTGAAGGATACCGATTTGGTGGGTCGTTTGAAAGATTATGGCAACATACTTGGGAAAAGTTCGCTTTTTGTGCTAGTTCTCATACAACATCATTATGATATAAACTTAATGCAAATTTGGGCTTTCATTTACATTTCATTTTACCAGAACTAATTCTCAATATTTATAGAAATCCTAAATTTTTTAATTGCTTCAGAAATGAAAGATCTCACTCATTTCTTTTTCCAACATTTTTCAAAATGGCTACAGTCAGTAAAGAATCAGCAGCCACAGCAATAATAATGGTCAAGATAGTGACATTAGTTCTCCTTTTTACTATTTCAAAATAATAATTGCAGATCGTGTTGTCGAAGTTTGGACTAAAGAACGTTCGGTAATAAAATTACGGCAAATGTATGATGCAGTATGTTTAGTTGATAATCAAAATAATGAATATTCTGCTGATTCAAAATGCCCTACCACTGTTTGTAAGAAGGGTGTGCTGGATTTGGTTAGTGTCAATTCTTGTTGTATTTTCTTATATCAAACGGGTATATTTTCGAAACTCATCTGTATTTTTATTATCTATCATGCTTCTGGAGTAAAATTTCCCACTGACCTTGGAAATTTTTTCCGGATTTTTACAAAGCTGTAGATTATAGAAGAGATTATTTGGAACTGAATCAAATTCTTTTTTTGAAATGGTTTAAGGTGGTGATTATATTATTGAATTGATTGGGTTAATTTAGGCTTGCAATCTTCGAAGAGCAAAAGGGGAATCATATGAAAGCAGTGAAAATGCTGTTATGAAGGAAGAGAAAAAAGTCGATTGGTTTTGTGATCTTCGCTGTAGTAAGTTTCCTCCTTTTAGTTTCTAATGTATCTTTTTCTGAAAGATTAACAAACGTTTCTGGAAGCACTGTCACTTTCAAGTGGAATAGTAGTGCCTAATATGTTTTTCGAGAGCTGATATATATATCCATTTCCGATTTGAGTTGCACAGCTAGCAAACCATGATCTGTATTAAATAACGGGTGCTTTCCTGATATTAGCTACTGGATTATTGTTGTTTCTCATTTTGCAAAATGTTCAAAAGTGGCTCATATTTTTCACTTCTTATCTTGCAATAATATTATATTAAATAACGGGTGCTTCTTTTCTGTTGCTACGACTTTATTTTGTCAACTGTATTCACATTCATAATTTTGAAGATGTGAAATAATTTTACAATTTTGACCGCAATGTCCTTTTTTACTTCGTAACAATTTTTTAATTCCATTTTTTCTTGTTTTTTTTTTTTGTTTTTTTGTTTTTTTTTTTTTTTTTTTTTTTTTTTTTGCTAGACAATAAACATCTTCAGGATGTTTGGAACAGTTAGCATTAGTTGTTCAGAATGCACCAGATGCATCTTTTACTGAACTTGTAAACATGCGCATATCGTGGCAAGCTGTAGTGGTTCTATTAACAAATCAGTCTGATGAACGGTTTCGAGATCATGTGTTCAATTTACTGAAACACATTTTGGTATTTTTTCTTTCTTGCATCATAAAAATGTAACTCAGCTAGTTTTTCTGCTGAAACATAATTCTAGAGTCACTCGTCGCATAAATATTCTAAAAAATTCATTAGACGTAAATTAGACTTTAAAAAGGTATGGATTTTATTTTTCAAGCTATCAACCCGTTTTAGCTTCGAGCAGATTCAGAAATGCGATCCGATTTCATAAAAAATGATGGATTTGAGTTACTTTCGAGCCAAATGAGGGGTTATCCTATTACAGATGAAATAGCCTCATCACTGTTCTCGTTGCTTTTTGAAGAACCAATTCGTTTCAGCGATGAGTAAGTTCATGATATCGAGTTAATGTAGCGAGAAATGGATAGATCCTAGCCTTATAATAAAATTTGCTAATTTCAGGCTGGGTTCAGATCATGTTCCGTTTTTAAAACTGAATCAGTTCAAGTATCTCTCACTGAAAGCAATATTTGTTTTATGGGAGGAAAGCGTTCGTCATTCGAACTTGCATACGTACTGGAATATTTCATCCATGTTGATAACAGTTAATTTGATCATTTTTACTTTTTATTAATTTGATCGTTTTTACGTTTTATTACGCTTCAGTGAACGTTTCCATGAAACTTTTGTGTTTTAAAACACCATATTAGTCACAGTGTTGAGAGATACTAAACCATCCATCTCCTATGTATCGTGGGATGATTATAATTTGGATGCAGTATGAATTCTTTGAAAAAAATTGAAGTACCGAAATCTTGCTTTCCTGTAGAGGAGTGCAGTTGCATGAGGCTATGAGGTATTATAAATTTCCTAAAATATTTCAGTCTATTACCAAAATATTCTTTTAGTTATTCAACGAAAACGAAATGCTAATGCAAGCAATGATAAACTCAGGATTATGCACTACTGTTGTATCCGTTTTAAGGCGAATTGCTTCACTTCCTCCCATGTATGCCGTCTATTTTTACATTTAAAAATCATTTTATGCTAATGACAAATTTTTATGGTAAGGAAAAATTTTGCTTAGCGTGCAAACATGATTAATGTTGAAATTTTTTCTGTAGAACAACCGATTTGATTCACGGAAGCGCAACAGCTCCGTTTATGGAATGTTGGTTTGGTATCGTGAGGAGAATTATACGCTTATGTTTGCCTTATCGGTAGGATATTGAAGTTTGCGAAAGTTTAAGAATTTACGTTATTTTGCTTTGGAATTTTCAGATTTTTCCTTTTTTTTTTTTTTTTTTTTTTTTTTGATTGTTATTCAGTAAAAAAAATCTTTCCAGCAATTCACATTTGTACAGTATGTGTCAGGAGATGCTATGGTTGCTGGAAATGGCAGTCCTGAACGTGGACATTCAATCAGAAAGAATCACTCGTCAAGGTCTTACCTGTGTTTATAGCCTATGGTTCACAGTGCTACAGGAATTCTACCTAAGTAATGGTAAATTTTATTTTCGAGACGTTTGGAAATTTTTATTTTTGGCATACTTCATTTTATGCACAGAGTAGTAACCTGGTACTGCATAGTCAAATTCTCAATATGTTGAAATTTATTTCACATTCTGAAGCGAATGCAATGCCCAACAATTTTCACGTTCTCAAATTTGAGTAAGCTTCTATACTAATAGGAAAAAATTGATACCTTTTCTACATACCTTTCTCTACGTCTCCGTTATAAACATTTCTTCACTCATCATTTGATAGCTATAGCATCTTCTTTTTTACCATGCGACTTAGAGTACCTTTTATTGAACGAACTAACATGACTCAGTAAAAAGTCATTTATGACATTTTTTTTTTTAGTTTAGACAATTTTCGTAGGGGCAGGAACTCATAGAAAAACGTTCAAACTGTTACATTTGTTCTTTCTTCTCAACTTTTAAGGTAAGTCAAACTGGGATTCAATGAGTGACTTGTTAGCTGCTGGTGAAGAAAGTGCTGATGATGTAGTGGATAACGAAATGCAGAGTGATATAGCGCCTACCAGTAATTTTCTGTCCGAAACGCTTTCTGCAGTAGTTGGAACGATTGCTGATTTCCGAGGTTGTATATTTCCCATTTTAAAATGCATGTCTCTTAATAGAAATTTCGCAACCTGCGAACATGTCTATTTTTTTCTTACTCTAATTTTCGGTCGTAACTTACAAAACATTTGAATTAGATTAGTTAGACCACTATACAATGCTTAACCTATTGTTTTCTTTCCAGGTAGCTGGAAAAATTCTTTTTATCAAAGAGTTAGGCAAGAATTTGACAACGAAATCATTGAAAAATAGGAGATACAGCGGTGTAGGCAAAGAAACTCAGAATTTTAGTAAAAAAAAAAAATCGTTTTATGACATTTCAGACAGGAAATTCTTCTATAGAAATAGCTATAGCAAACGCTTACCTCCAATAGGTGAACGCGCGGAACGTCTGATATTTTGTGTCACTGAGATTTCACATTTTTTTACTAGCATGCCAGTGAAATCACTTGAAGCTGTTACAAATCAAGAAATGAAATTATTTAAAATATTCCTGTCATTCCTATCTCTAGTTTGTAAGCAAGTAAGTTTTCACTATTTCATTTAATTTTTTTAGAAAATTTCAAAAGTTTGAATTATGCTTTATCTTATTTATTCATCATCCCATATAACAGCTCACTTATTTTTGCTCGAAATTTCGATTTCATTTTTTCTTTTTCTTACCCCTATTAATGATAGATATTCATTTCTTTTTAGAATGACACACGAATAGTAACTTTTGAGCATCTCAACAATAAACAGCGATTGATGAATATCTGTGGTGAGCGTATTGGACATTTATTTGGTCCACTTATTGCTTTTGTACTTTTTCCGGCATCAACAAAGGCTAGCAAATTGAGCTTCGTTACATCCAATACAGGAAGAAATGTTGGTTTTCTCATTATAAATTGTCAAAGAACTTGAAATCACTTTCAAAAATAATTCTTTGAAATAAATTAAAAGCACGAGAGAATCTCTTTGCCTAATCTTTTTTTTTCTTTTATATTTGATAAGAGATTTTTATATTTTTCACTCCAAAAGGCAAAATTTTTTTAGCAACGACTTTTTCAGGGAAACAGCTGGGAAATGAAAAGACGTTTAATGATTGTGAAGATGTTAGTGTCAAACAAAAATCACCTAAAATCCCTTCTTGGTGCCAATTTGGTTAGCTTTGAAATTTTTTTTTTTTTGAATGTTGGAATATTTATTATTAATATCGAAAAAAAATGGATATCATTTTCAAAATTAGAGTTCATGGTTTTTGTTCAAATACGACAAAATTTTTTTCAAAGATCATACACATTTATTTAAGGAATACCAGTGTGCGCTAAACTTGTCGTTGCATGAATTAGCATTATTGAATACTATCGAGGATTTGGACGTTCAAAAAGATATTGAAAACCTAATTAGATTTTTAAGGAAATTACAGATTGAATCTCCTCTAGCGACTTTAGATGCTGGTATTAGTTTTTTTTTTTTTTTACAAAATCGCTTAATGGTATTGTAAAATGCGCTTCGAAGGATGTTCACTAATTTACAGAATGAAAACTGTTATAATTTGAGACCGCTATAATAATTTATAAACTGCTATAATAATCTTACTTCACTTATCGATGCGTTTATCCACAGTGCTAGAACGGATACTGAATGGAAAAAAGTGCTTTAAAAATAGTGTTGTAAAATGGTTCACTCTTAATTTGGCGCTAGATTTTTTAATGTATTCATGAAAGATAGTAAGTTGACATTATTATATTATTAATATGGTGTGGCTTAGGATTAGACAAATTAATTTTTTTTTTTTTCATGTATTTACATAGTTTAGCCTAGTATTTTAGATGTTTGACTTACAAATTATGTTTCTAGATCGACTTATGTCTTTGAATATGGATGAGTCATTGGCTATTCATGGTTACCTGGAATATAGTAACAAATTTTTAACGAGGGTACAACAAAGAGCAATTCGTTTTATTGTTGAAGAGAAACAACAAACAAAGATTCGAAGCGAGGTTTTAAAGTTTTTTTTTCATTTATTCTGGAATTATTAAGTTGTTTAACTTTTAGATAGTTCTATCAGGTTCTTAATTAGATGTTCACATGTCTGCTTCCAAATAAAAAAGTAATTTCCCTCGTGTGTGAGGCGACTATAATATGGCATTAAGCTAAGTATAGAATACTGCTTCTCATTCTGCACTATGTTATTTTTTTTTCTAATTCAATCATTTGTATATAGCCACATATGTTTAAGTTTATGCTGTGCTTTGTATTATTATATATTATAGGTAGCAATGCAAATGACATGTCGAGTTGTAGAAGATCAGAATTTGCTACGAAAGAACTTTATGAAAACTTGTCGAGAGTCAGAACTAAAAAATATGGCTGCTAACGTATTTTTAGACGGTTTATTGGTAATTTTGTTTGATAATTAATGTTAAGCAGTATTTGTTGATTGTGATTGATTAGGCATGGTATATATTTGGTAACTTGTCTAGGTCGACCCACTCATTTCTTAAATAAACACAGTTTGTCATTTCTTCTCATACTGTCTTAAAACATAATAAATTCGTGTCATACATTTACCGATCTAATGAGTTTGTTAATAAAATGTTATTTTAAATTACCAAACAAAATGGGTCACAGAGACTGTCATACGAAGATTTAATGTAAGACATAAACTTAAGTTCTTGTATTTCATTATATCACAGAATTCTTAATTGTCCTTTATCTTTCAAATCATTGCATTAATTTTTATTCACTGTTTCATAAAAGTATTCAATATTCCAGACAGAGCTTTGTCATCCGGAAGGTCTTTTTTATGATGCAGAATCATGGCCATCGAGTTGGGCACTTGACCCAACAGAGGGACCAAATAGGGAGCGTCGTAGATTGATGCCTTCACATTTATCGTTTGACATAAAATTTTTGCGGCCACAGTCGATAAACAAGATCAAAAAGCGGAAAAAATCTCCCCCTCTATTTCATTTACTGGTTAGTTTAAAACAAATAATGTTGGCATGAAATAGAAAGCTATAAAAAATCTGAAGTGATTATCCCAACGTCCGTTCTGGTAAAAGATGTGAAAATTAAGCTGATAAAATAAACGGTTTATTCTCCTCCAATTTGCCTGATTGATAAAGACTTTAACATTATTTTAATACTAATATGTGTAATAGTAGATAACTTATTGCTATAAAACATTTTGAACTATGTAGTTAACTACGAAAAAGTTAAGAGATTAGTTTATACACCAAATTCGTGTGATTATTTTTTGCAGAGCGATCTGAGAGGAAACATAAATGAATTGAGCTTAGAAGATGGTTTAGTACCTGGTGAACGCATCATTTTATCACTCTCAGCTGTGGTTGTGAGATCGACAGTTGAAAGTAGCGGTGAAATTCTTGCTGGCGACAAAAGATTTTACTTTCACAGTGATTACACAAGATCCGTACAGGTTTGCTTTTCATTTGCTAATTTTATGTTTAATATATATATAATATCTGTTTGATAAACTGACAGTATTGCGTAAGAACATGTGGAATGTTTAATTTTACCATGTCTGCTGTTCTATAACGACTAATTAGCAAAACAAATTCTTGCTTGAATTCCTTCTTAAATATCTTTAAATAATTGCTTTGCTAATTAATTTATGCATGTGCTCTTTAGTGTTCTTGCTTTTCAAATGATGGTATTCTAATTTATCGAACAGTTTCACTTCCAGAAGAGGTTAAGTCGTACCAATACACTGTTCATTCGATGGAGCTATGGAGACTTGGTCGAAATCTATAAGCGGCATCATCTTCTGAAAGATACCGCTTTAGAAATTTTCTTGTCAGATGGCCAAACTTATCTTATTGTTTTTGAAGATCAAGCGGTCAGCTTTCAATTAATTTATCTATTTTCCTAATGACTCTTATTATTTTTCTGCTTAAAATCAGTTTTGTTTGTTAAGAAAAAGGAATATTTATTTTAATAGTCGTTGTGATTTTTGCTTCTTTAACTGTTTCATCTGGTCATTTTCATTTCTCTGATTACAAATAATAATATAAAAATATTTTTCAAGGTACTACTTAGCTGTTGGGTGCGCATAATCTAAAAAATTGTGTTTCAGAAGCGGGATCAGTTTGGTTTGCAAATACTTTCATCCGATTTATGCAAATTGTCCAGTTTTTCGAATGTATCTGTACAATCAGCCACACAGTTATGGCGGGAGGGAGCGATCACCAATTTTGAGTTAGTTTTTATTACAGAACAGAATAAAAACTGTTCTTTCCCACTAAGCTTCTCTATAAAATCTGTTTCACTGTGTTTTCTTACAAACTCACTGTTTGATTTCTTTATTGGGAAAAGTCCGATTTTATTCAGAATTGCTTAAACTTAGTTTGTAAAGACTTAATTTGGTTTACGATGGTTTCATTTCACCAGTTTTGAAAGTATTATTATTTACCAACAGTATCTTTTCGAAGTAAAATATTATTAATATTCAAAGTTAACTTGTGGATTTAATAAATAATCAAGTAAGTTAGAGTATATTACAATGAATTTTTGAATTCACTTAAACTCTGTCATCTTTAATCTTTCATTCGCTTTGTCACTTGCGTTTCTTGTAGGTATCTGATGCAGTTAAACAAGTTGGCTGGTCGTTCATATAATGATCTTATGCAGTACCCAGTATTTCCATTTGTTCTTTCGGATTATAAATCCACTGTATTGGATCTCACTAATCCAATCTCATTTAGGTTCATTTTAATTTTTAGAGTCGTGATCATTTGAAAGTTCATTGCTATTTAAAAAGGTAATTATTTTACTAAGATGATGCTTGACGCACTTGACATTATAGCTATAATGAGTAAGTAGTAGGCAACTTTGAAGGTTTTATTTGGTTTTTTATATAACATTGCAACACATTTTGGTTACATACCGAAGTATAAATATAGACTTTTTTTTATAAGTATAAACTTTTTTATCCACGAATATTTAGAATTTTTATTCAAGACGCAATAAGCAGAAGTGGAACTCTAGTCTTATAGTAATTGTAATATGTTTCATAGATTGTTGCTTAAACTTACTGTTAGTGCTATTTGTCAATAGAACTATAATGAAGTGCATAAAGCAATTTATATTACTGAATGGGTCTTCGGTAATTATATCATAATGTCATGGTGTTATAGCTGAAATGTTGCAAATTATTGCAAATTTAATTGTGGTCTGTAAGTCATTACTTTTCTCTTACTCAAGACTGTGTCTTTGCAGAGATTTAAGCCGCCCAATGGCAATTCAGGATAAACGGTTAGAGAAACATTATCTCCGAAAATACAGTTATCTTGCTCGAGAGGAGGTTCAAGCAGTATCTGGTTGCGGTTCACCATTCATGTTTGGACCTTATCATTATGGAAGTCATTACTCGAATATCGGTATTGTCGCACATTATCTTGTTAGATTGCCACCATTTACCGACATTGCGCTAGAATATCAAGGTAAATTATCCCCAACTTTCGCCCTTTTTTGAATGTGGAATTTCTGAAACCAAATTTTCAGAGGCAGCAATCGTATGTTTTTGTTCTAAAAGCTTTACGCTACTAATGAAAGGGAGTTTATCCCCGCGACCGAATACTTGATTAAAGTTTTTGATAACCAGAGGAGTGCACGAAATTTTAGAATTTGCAGAGAAGTGGCGAGGTTTTGGGTTGGAAGTTCATTTAAAATGACTGTTAAATGCTCCAAATTAATAGAAGGAAACTCATTATCGTTGTTATTTTACAGACAACAATTTCGATATTGCTGATCGATTATTCAATTCAATTGAAACCACATGGCGTTTGGCAAGCTTTGATTCAACCACTGATTTCAAGGAACTTATTCCTGAATTCTTTTATTTGCCTGATTTCTTGATGAATAAGGAAAATCTAAATTTAGGAATGCGTCAGAATGGTGATATTGTGGATGATGTTATTCTGCCGAAATGGTATCAAATTTATTACAAATTTTAAGAATTTTTCATGTCGACTATGACTGTTAGATTTCAAAAATTAATGAGCCATAGGGAAATTCAGTACTCCATACGTAGTGTTTGAACACGTGACAAACTACTATTTGACAAACTACCGGGAAGGTTGTCAAAATGAAAAAAAAAAAAATAGTACTAAAGTATTTTATAGGCCTGAAATCTCAGAATTTCTCTCTTGCGGTACATTGTCTCTCGAATAGGATACCTTAATACAAAATATGTGTTAATTATCTTTTGGGATCATTTTAGGTGTCAAGGATCAGCACGTTTATTTGTGCTTATTCATCGACAGGCACTTGAATCTTCATTTGTTTCATCAGCGCTGAATTACTGGATCGACCTAATTTTTGGCTATAAGCAAACGGGGAAAGCTGCGATCGATGCAATCAACGTGTTCCATCCCGCGGTATTTTGTTTAGTCTTGTGATTAATTTCTCCTTTTTTTTACTGACATAAATGGTAAGGATGGTGTGTTCCTGAAGAGTGTTTTGTTCGTAACTGAAAACGTTATAGACATACAGGATGAATACGGTGCATGGCTTAAACGACGAATATGACGAACTTTCGATCTCCGCCCTAAGAACTATGATACAGACCTACGGACAAATGCCATTACAGCTTTTTCGTTCACCTCATCTTCCACCTTTGTGTGGGAAAATGCATCAAAATATTCCCAGCATTTCATTGGTAGAGTTTTAAATTTGGGATACTGTAAAATTTTATATTCCGCCTGGGAATTTGGGTAACCTAGAATATTTTGTTGAGTAAAGCTTTAAGCTATCCAAAATTAGATGTCCTTATTTAGTAACATCGTTGGGTGCTGATTTACTGTATCACTAGTTTACTCAAAAAAAAAAAAAACTTAGATATATTTTTGCAGAATCCACTGGACACGGTGAGAGGAATAAGATGGGGTGAATTTATAGGGAGTCCGGATACCGAATTCGGAAACTTAACAGTTGTTCTAAATCAAAAACTGCCGAGTAGTGATTGGTCTGGCCGCCTTGTTGCATTCTCAGAAGGAACTTGTTTTGCATTCCCGAGCAATACATGTTTTATTTATAAGGTTTGAAATAATTTTTTGTTTATAAAGTTCAAAATTAATAGTAATTATAATCCAATGAATGTGACTTCTTTTGTATGTGTGAATCTTTCAGGAAGGCAATGCTTAATTAGATCAAGCATCAGTCTTATAATTTCAGAAGTACGGGGCTACTAGTAAATTTAACTTGTTAATGATATGAACACATAAAATAAGGTTCTGAAGAAAAATATTATCTTTATTTTCTCACATTATGTTAATATTTTGATCGACTAAAAACATGAAGAATTGTCTTCTAGTATGGGGAAGGAGTTCGACCGCGAAACCTTTGCAGTTATGGATTAGTAACTTGGCGACATAATGATGGGATACTTCGATTGCGTCTTCATGAACCGAAGCTTTGGTGGGATTTGGCCAGTTACCATACGTATAATGTAGGTTGATTTTTTTGTCATAAAAGCTGTGCCTTATTTTACTATGGCTCTTAAAATGTTGTATTTTATAGCATAAAGTGTTTGGAAAACATGGAAGAAGGGAGCTGCTTATTTCATTTTTTTCTCGTATAGTTCAATTAAGCTTTTATAGATCTAGCGTTAAACTTCAAGTTGAGTGAAATTGACGATTAAGTTAATTTGTTTGGCGTAGTTATAATGAATATTGCCTTCATTTACCTTAATGTGACTTAAGTTGTACAAACTTAAGTAGAAATGCACATGAATTTATTTAATCCTTTTCTTTTATGTGAAATATTTGATTTTCAGGTGGTGACAACAGCTTATTGTGTTTCATTTGATTTGCTGTTTATAGGACTTTCATGTGGTATTATACTCACTTACCGTATACAATTAAGCGAATTTGTAGGTTCATTAAATTGTTTGATTTTATTTTTCCTTTTTTGTGTCTTCCCTTTCTTCTCTATTTCGGTGTGAGATTGTGAAAAATATTTTACTCATTTATAGCTATTTCTTTACAGGGTGTGAAAGATTTTGCACTTCTAAAAACGCTGTATGCACACGATACTGCAGTACGTGCATTAGCAGTTTGTGGTAATTTTGCTGTTGCGGCTAGTGGTTGCGACATGGGTAAAATTTGTATATGGGATCTAAATCGTTTATCGTATGTTCGGACTCTTGTTCCGGGTAATAGAAGAGAAGTGCAGTTCATTTGTATAAGTCGAACTAGTTGTGACGTGGCTATCGTGGCTTATTCCGGTATAATTTTTCAGTTTTGTATATTTGAAAATATTTCTACTTAATTTTTATGCTTAAAAATTTTGGCTTTGGGTTCCAAATTTTGATTTTCGTAATAGCTATTTAGGAACTTTTTTCCTAACTAATAAATGAGACTGTTAAAACCTCGTCTTGATCATACTATATGTCGTCACTTTTTATGAAGTAAACTGTTTTGCTTACCACCGCCAACCATTGTCCATTATTATAATTACACACAATAAAATATACGTTTTGTGGACTAAAGAGTTTAGTCCTGTTGTTTTTATGTAGTTGCACAAAACTGCAGGTTATGGGAGCAATGTAACACTGAAAACTATCAACGGGTTAGAAATCGGTAGCATCGATACCGATATCGTTGTTACTGCAATTGCTATGACATCAATTTCGGAAGGAACTGCCGTAAATTGTGTTTTTCTGGGAATGCAAAATGGAGTGATTAGGTATGAAATGGTTTTTTTTATTTTAAACAGTATATAGGAGTGGAAAACTGCTAAAATACTCATTTTTCCCAGGATATATTTAATTTATTTGTTAATATTTCATAAATCACTGCAAATCAGTATATTTTGGGTCTGCGGTAGATTTTTGTTTTCAAAAGATTTCAAAATTAAACTAACATCTAAAGATTTTTGGATTATCGTTTAATGTCATTAGATCATCGCTTTTGAATTTTTCAATTAAAGTTATTTCAATTTGCCAGAAAATTTAAGAATATTTGATATGTGGACAATGAAATTTGTACGTGATATCGTCGATTATCGGTTTCTTGAACCTGTTGTCAGGTTTGTTTGAGCAGTTCTTTCTAAAAAATTGTGTAAATCTGAATTGTAATTTCCAATTGATGATTGTGCGGATAACTTTTAAAATTTCCATTTTTTCCCAAGATGGTTGCTATTTGTGTTTAAAATACGTATTATAAGATAGCAGACTTAGTACGAACGTGAAATAAATGCTGTCATTACTGTCGTTTCTTTCTTTCAGTATTAGTTTTTCAAATCGATGTACGAGGTTGTTCGTTAATTTCTCATCCGGTCGGGTATTGTGCTGGCAAGGAGAAAATCTGCAGCCAAAACGACCACCATCACTGAGCATTATTAGCGATATGTGAACTTTTTTGGGTCTCTTTATGTTATGATAATATGAATTGCCTGTTCACTGTAAATTAGTTTTTTTTCTTTTTTTTTTTTTTTTTTTTTTTGATTTTACTGACTATTTCTAAAAATAGCTACGGTTCGAATTACTTTTTCTGTTAATATTTGGATAGTTAACACGTGCTGTAACCTCCACAGTTTTCTTCGTTATTACCACAAATAATGATCTACTATTCTGGTTCGGAACATCAACTTTGTTGTCAACTCCATTTTGCTTGTTCCCAAATTATTCCATCTTTGCAGTGATTTAAATTAGTTTTTACTGTTGTAGCATTCCGATTAATTAACTGTGCCATCCCTAAAATGTTATATACATTTGTTAGATTACGACTCTTTTTTTGGTTTTTTCATTTTACAAATACGATAAGTATTATATTAGTTCCACTGTAATTTTCCATAATTAAAATGAAAGAAAGAAAATATAGAGGTGTTAAATAGTTACAGACCAAATCATTTTATGCGGTATCTCTTTTTTCAGTGAATTGGAAAATGGATACTGCTTCATTTCTAATCTCCTCTGGTATTTCTTTTAGGATGTGCTATTCTTTTTTCTTTTGTTAAATTTATTCTTTTGTTTATTGGGTTTAACTGAAGCTCGCTCAACTTATGAAAAATTTGTTCCTTGTACTATGTACTTCCCTTATTTTTTCCATTGTTCTTTTTATTAAATTGTTACGTTTTGAGCGTGGCTAATATTTCCTAATTGTTCATTCGAATTATTCAAATCAGTCTCTTTGTTTTCTGTTACTGAAATTGACCCGAAAAGTTCTGTGTTTTATTTTGTAGCATTCAAGATAATAAACTCTTCAGTATTTTAAATATGTTAGCTGGCGTACATCTCATTTCGGAATTTATTTTTGAAAAAGTGTCCTCCCAAGTCCATTTTGTTAAATTAAGACATATCAAATTTCCACAAATTTTTCTCATCTGCTTTTCTAATATAAAAGGGTAATTCTATTATTTTCGGGATCTTTAGTTTATTTGATTTTATTCACATGTAGTAATGTTAAGATCATAAAACGTTACAAAAAATTTCCAAGGCAAGCAGTTAAGGAAGTTGGTTATCTTTGATATTTTAAATTAATAAAATTCCTATAAGGTTCTCGATTGATGCTAGAATATTGAAGCTCAAATAGCAAATGTTCTGACAACATTTTCCCGAAACTTAATTCTCAATGACATTTAAGGTGATAGGGGAATGCCTTTCCATGACATTCACTTAATAATTAGTGAAAGAGATTTATTGGGAGGGAGAAAAAACCTTTTTCTATTAAAAGCTATAGCTCTTCTATTATGATGATTTCGAACGACATAGCATCATGCAATAGGCGCACACTTTTCAATTAATTTCTATATTTGCGTGACACATTCCCAATGTTGAAATTGAGTATGATTGAATTAGTGATGCATGGAGTACATAACTTGTCATTACAAACCTACTTTTTCTTTCACTTCTGTTGCCTGCGGTTTTTTTTTATTTTAACAATACGATGGATACTATGGAACAAGTGGACAAATGCTTAAATTCGATTTGCATATTCATCACTCATTCAAATTCATGCCACATACTACCACTTTTTTAAAAATGTTCTTAACAGTCAATCATCTTTACTTTATTGACAATATAATTAGCGACTTTTAATTTATAAATTGCGATTTTAAGCTGATCATGCTCTCTCAGAAAAAGAAATCACTATTAATGTTTACTGAATTTTGGAAGATCAATTTTCAATTTTCCAAAGGATTTATGATTTTAACATTTGCTGATTACATTGGTATAGTAAATGTTGCTGATAATGAATCTAATCTTGCAAAAATCGAGGAAATACTTTTAATTCCGCTATTAAAAATGCTATTAAAACTTTGTGAACTAAACTACCGTCTTCAATTAAAAAAAGAAAACCTTAGTAGTAAAAATAATCTAAAAAACGCACTCATTTGAAAAAACATAGTCATTCATCCGTTATACATCTTACAAATGATTTGATCGATTGATGTGTTTCCAAATGTAGCCATGAAAAACATTCGCTCAATTTTCTCAGCGCTTATAGTTCGCAAGAGTGGTAACAGAAGAAGTAATCGGCCAAATCTGAAATAGCAATTTTTAAACGAAATTCAAGTGTATCATGTCTTAACACCACTGCTGTATCTGTGTGTGTCTGCATAGTTGTATTGAAATAACACGCATGAAGTAATATTAGTAAATAACATAACTAACTTGACTCATACATACATAATTGCACGATATGTTTGTTCCTTCTTTTTAAACAAAAACTTATTTTAAGTGAGAAATTTTTCATGCAAACTTTATGAACTAAACTTAGATAAGAAAAGAAAGACCTTGCTGGTGATGAATTCATTGTATGTTTGGCCAGTGTTTGCTGTGCTTGATCTTGTAGATCTTCAATTTGAACTAGATTCTTTAATCCTCTTGTTTCTAAAGTATTCATAGATTAAATCAAGATATTAAGAAAATATTTATAAAACAGAAAAATCCAACTAGCACAGAAATTTCCTAATCCAAAACTTAATCAGCACTTAGGTGAAGTTGTTTGCGTAAGTATATAAAATAGGATTTTGAGATAATAATTTATGAATTTAATTGAGAATGATAGCATTAATGATCGTTTTATATTCCTATATTACTGTAATTTTAACAAATATTTCACAAGACGAATACTAGCAAAGTTTTAAAAATAAGTGTGCCAACGAATTTAGTGAAAAAAAAAAAAAAGACAGTAAATAAATGAATTAACTGCAAAAAAACCAAAAAATTCAAAAACTAAACATTTATTAAAATAACTCATTACATTTTAAGAGGATAAAAGAGTTGGCTGAACAGGATAGCAATTTTAATCAAACCTTTGAAGAAAAGAGAAAGGATGTTATCCAGTAAAATAGGGGTGGGATGACAGCATGGAAGAGAATAGATTTAATTAGCTTTTTACTTCATCCTTTCTTTTACTGTAGCCTAGGCCGCCATCATTCCCGCCGTCATCTCAATTATTTTGCCACTTATAATGGCTCCCTTATGTTCCTTGTCTTCCTCTTCTCCCACCTCCCTCTTTATTCATTCAATCCTTAAATGGATATTAAATCATCCGTTGAAACTGACATCATCTCATCTTATAGCCGAATCAATTCAAAATCAAATTCTGAGCGTTAAATTAATTACACTTTAATTTTGTTGTTTACTTATAGATGAGAGAGAAATGCTTATTGTTATTAGAAATAAGAATATAGGAGATTTTTTTGTCAGATAGTTAAGTTGAAGTGTTCCTTCTATGTAAAATGGTAATATAATAAAAGGAATTTTGAGCTATATATTGTATGATTTGAAAGCAATTGCAAAAGCATTGTATACAGAAGAAGACTTGTATTAAAAATAATCGAACAAGCCAAAAGTAAACATTTTGGCTGCATAAAAACAAAATTGATAAACATTGAAAGAAACATTGTAGATGACGTACATATCCGATGTGAATGATAATATAAAAAAACCAAATGTTCTCAATATATATAAAATACTTATTTGCTCAAAACAAACTTTATTCTTATTATAATTAAAAAAACTTTTTTAACAAACATTTTCTTATTGCAAATTAAAGATGTAGGAAATATTTTTCTTGTAATGAAGTGGGTTGAAGTGAAATTTCATCGAAAAATTAGAAAATTTTCCTGATCAATTCATTTTCAAAGAGTTCAAAAATTGATTTCTTTAAAGGAATTCCTGATTTTTTTTAACTTCTCGTTTCTTAGAATTTGAAATTTTTATGCATAATTTACAGCAACTGAACTTTGTGTCAGCAGTAAAAACACTTGAGAAGAAACTAAACAAGTTCAAAAAACTTGAGTAGTATTGGAATTTGAATTGCACTAACTTCTCTTTAATACACAGATTTAATTTTAACTTTCCATATGTCATAGCATTTTGACACTACCGTTTCAATTTCGCTTGACTTGAAGGATTTAGAATTGAAATGAAATTTGAAGAAAAGCAAATCTAATAATGCAACAAATATTTGAAAAAAGTTTACCTGGCCTAAACAACACTATGGCCTTTAAGCAAGCAAATTCGCCATGATCAATACCATAACTACGAATCCGAAAGAATAAATCGTTCAAATAACGAAAACTGGACGGATCAGTTTGCAAAGTATTCAGCAAGGGACATTTGTCCATTGGAAGTGACCATTGGAACACACTGAGGAGGAAAAGATCGCACCAATTTTCTTTCAGCAATTTTAACTATAGCAAACAAAAATTAGTGAAATATTTTGAAAAGAGAAAGTAACTTATCATTCTTCTCAAAAAATTATAAAAACTATGATATTATTCAATAGTATTAATCCCATTTTACCTGATCACGAAGTGACAGTGACGCAAATGATGGAAGATTTTTAGCCCATTTAATGGCCAAAAATAAAAGTCTTGTAGAAGCTTCTTGGACATTTTCATTTTCAACACCACGTCTAACTTCATCAATTTTTTCGCTACCAAATATCTGAATTTAAAACCAATATTTGAGGTGCCTCATCAGTTCGGTTTGAAGGAAAAATCGCATCGAAATGCAAAAATTAGTCTGAAAAACTAACCTCTGAGAAATCCTGTTTACCGGAATCACTAATCGGAGAAGAACCTTTTGCCATCAATACACCGGAAGTGGAGTCTGGTATTTCGCCATTCACACAAAGTGCCGTTGTTACCGTACTATCATACTTACTAATTAAGCGAATACATTGTATTAAAAAAGCCAGACTGAGTTAAACACTGCAAGTGTAGCTGTACTAAGTCAGTAAGTTAAAAGCAAGTACAGCAAATCTTTTCAATTCTCAAGCTCTCCATGATTTTGATTAATTTTCAAGCAACTTTTAATAATCGAGCAAATATCCATTTTTGCAATTTCTCGAAAAGTGAATATTTAACAAATTTGAATTCATTGATTGCAAAAGTTGGTAGAAGAAATCTATCAGGAAAAGGAGGATGATTATTGTATTCTGTGAATAAATATGTTGTTTAATGTGAAGGTTGCAAAGTTACTTACTTGTAAAAACTTGATGATGTCGAAAATTCCGACTCATTCTGAGTACGAACTGTAGCTGTATTACGTGGTTGTCGCTCATTCTGTACAGCTAAAAATGCTTTTAGTTACTTTTTAATGTAAAAATACTTTTTAATATAATTTAGAAGAAAAAAATACCATCTTTATTCATTCCTTTACTGAGGCATTTTTTAAGCCTACAAGCCTGACACTGATTACGGTGTGCTTTATCAACGATACAGGAGCCGGTACCAGCCTGACATCGGTAAATTAGTCGACGTCGTACACTCCGCTTGAAGAAACCACTGCAACCATTACATGCCAGAATTCCTGTAAATAACATTACGCAGCATTAAGGGTTTATTTAAGTCATTTTTGTAAATACATTTAGAAAAAATCAAAAGATATTGAAAATGATTGTTTTGAACTTCTTAATACTCTAAATATTCGAAAAGATCTGTAACTAAATTCAGTTGAAAAACCAGAAAAGTGAAAAAATAAAAGAAATACCGTAATGCTTTCCGCTAGACACATCACCGCAAACCGCACAGGAAAGTGCTGGCGATGTTGGTGCTGGACTCTGTGCTGTATTCATCGAACAGAACGAATTTACTGAAATCGTTGCTGGGTCTGATTCCACCACACTATTACTCATTGATGATCTTCAAGAGAAATTTTCATATGTAAAATCCAACTTTGAAAAGAAATTGTAATTTGAAGGATATTTTAGGGTCAGTTTTTTGCTAATTTTTGTACCAAGCTTTTGAAAAAATAATTTTTTTTTTTTTTGATTCCTACAAAATTGTTTGAAATTCATAAAATAATTCAGCCAAATTCATTTAAATAAATTTGGTGAAATTTTTTGACTCCCTTCATTAGAAAACCTTTTACGAGGAAAATTTTTTTAATATATTTAAAATGCTTTTACAAAGCTTATTACTTACAACTGATGCGGAAGGCGATGTACTGCGGCATTCATTGCGGCTGACATCGCGGCCGCTGCAGCAAATGAAGACATATAAGATGACGACAAAAATCCTGGTGCCATAAATATTGGGGGTTGATAAGTGAGCAGGGATCTTGGTGGAACCGGGACTGAAGTTGTGTTTATGCCGGAAGCTACAACGTTACACTGATTATCGAAGTTGTGTTTCTCAACTTGACCGAATTCTGGAAAATTTTTGCTATAAAATGTCTTCCAGTTTGAAAGGAAAACTGATTAGCCATAACTTTTTCTTGAACTTGGTCTTACTTAGATCTGAATAATCGCTAAGATGAATTCCATTCCCTTGAATAAATTTCACTAAGAAAAACAAAGACAAATCATATTTTATACCTTGCCAAAGCGTTGTTGCTGCTGGTATTGTAATATCATTAGTTGAATTAGTTGAAAAATTTAGTGGTTGTTCTTGTAGCTGCTCATTAGAAGATTGCCGTATTATTGATTTGTAAGTATTCATAATTACTTGCAAAAGTTTTAAATGTCAAAATTTCAAAACAAATTTTCGAAAAGATTGAAATTGGGAGGAAAAGTTAGGAAGAATTCAAAGATGAAGTTAGCGATATTCAGGTAAACCGGATAGGATGAATACGAGGAATGATAAATTTTAAAGCATAAAAGGTTGAAGGTCGTCGTACTAGCAGCATCAGTCCAATAAGACAAATGAAATTCCAACAGTGAACCGATAGAGACGAACGATGCTACAGTATGGCAGAAAACTGGATAGCTTGGTTGAGGAGCAACAAGCATGAAGAAGTAAGGAGCCACGAGGCAGAAGCAGAGAGCATGCGGTATTGCTCGAGAGTGAAGGTAGGTGGTAACGTCGACATAGCAGAAGTGAAAGCATGATGCTTATGCACGCACTGCATCTGGCCACTGCTATATTATTGGCTGTCATAAGGGATAAAGGTCAGTAATGGATGACCACTCCTTGCCTTTGGCTAAGCGCCTACATTAGGCTACTGCAAGACAGAATAAAAAAATTATTTTTTTCAAATGGTATCAAAAATTTTCCAGACTTGACGTTGAGGTAAGTTTGACTTATTAGCAGCAAAATGCAATTTTATTGAGCGAACACTTACAGTAAATCTTTTTTCTTTTTCTACCGTAATGCAACTACTTCGTTTTATAATCAAAGATTATACTTAGTACATTCAGCTCCACTGATGAATAGGTTAAAACACAAGAATTACTAACAAACTGCTTATTATGCTGAGTTTTTTCAATTTGGATTATTGCCCTTTTGTCTGCAAGTTTCTTAAGTAAAAAATTTGAGATTAAATAGAATTTCTAATATACAGTTGAGTAGATCAGCGCTCAATATCAATCACCTCATCAGCTCGTATAATACATTTCAAAACGCTGGGCTTAAGCTACAATTTACTTCTTCCCTATGCACAGAATTAGTTTATAGGACTTCAACTCAAAGAATTGCAATTTTAAGTTCACATGAAATTTATCGGAGTCAAATCATTAGTAAAGCTAAATTTACTAATATTGAATGGTATAAGATACATCACTTATACTCATGCTTATCAAAATTTACAGTGCTATGAATTCATTTTAGGTTACATGCATTAAGAAAAATATATTTACAGGTGCATCTGCAAAATATCATAGATGAAGTGTTTGTAATAGTTTTAAATTGTTTTTTAAATATCATTTCCAGTTTTACACAACTATTATAAGGTATTACAAAGTACAATGTATTATTATAAAGTATAATTTATTGTTGGTTTCATTATCACAAAGCATTTGTATTCCCTTAATTGCAACAAAATTTGCAGTAATTAAGTAAGAAATTCATTAAGTTTCAGCAAATTGAATGGATAATAATTGTGGTAAACCTATAATTTCTATGCCAAGCGGTGCATTTGTATTTGTAAGCAATCGGCAACAATAATGCGATGTCAAGTTGTCCATCCGGTAATTACATTATTTGAATGCTCGAAAGATAGATGAATGAATTGATGCTCACTCGTCTTTAATTTATGCCTCTGTCCCTGCTTCCTATTCCTCTGAGCTATCCCAAATTGCAAGCGATCACCAAAGGATAAGTCTGTACACAAATCGATAGATGTGCAAAGGAAGATGCTTGATGAAACTTTTCGAAAATTTTAAAAGGAGGAAAAGAATTCCTCCGGAATTTCCAATGGTTCTTTGCTAAGGACTTACATAAAGTTGTCATCAGTATAAAGTGATGCCATTTTTAAAAATCTTTTCAAAATGCAAATTCTCTAAGACTGATGAAACAAAAAACTTAATATTAGTGATAATTTCCTTTTCACATTACCAGTATTCTTCGCGGTTTCTTTCATATATTTGTTGGTATCAAATCATATTTGAGTACGAAACCATGATTACTCATAATATGTAGGTTAATCATTTAATTCATTACGTGGCTCTACAATTAATGATTGATTTGACTATTATGGTACTGCACAGTAATCACTAGACAAAATGTCGTTATTTACATTTACAGTTGTTATTAACAATATTCTATATCATAATCACCATCGTCATTATCACCATCATCATCATCAAATGGTCGTCTATGTCATTTCGGCAGTTTCAATGATATTAGCAAAGATGGATGGAAAGAGCGCACAAATCGCATTAGTATTTTATTGCTTTTGCAGTGTCGATAATTGAAAAAGCCCATATGCGTTGTATAAGTATACATGTATATTACTTCTCATATATTTATATTTATTTATTTATGTATTTATATATTAGATAGCGATAGACATGTAATATAACAGCCTTATGAGATGAGCCTAGGCTAATGGGCGAATAGAGGTGGTTTTTGCTATATCTTACCACTTAGCAACAGCCATTCATTCTTCTTTCAAAATCCATTATCAAGACGATCTAATCAACATAACCAGCACTAACCATGGGCCATTACCATTATCCCATCAAAATCCTCCTTTTCTACAGTAGGAAAACGAAAAAAGTTTTTTTCATCTTCATCAAAATAATCAACAAAAGGACAATAAATGCATTATAGGTATGTATGAATTGGTTGTGTTGGTATATTGGAATTGCTTTTGTTGGAAATAAATGAGAGGATGGCCAATTAAGCAATTGTGTTTGGCGGAGAGAGGAATTTTTTGATGAGAACGTAAAAATTATTAGAGAACAAACGTAACAATAGAATTTAAGAAATACTGAAGTGATGATATTTTATTTCATATCCTATCCATTTCAGTAGCTCAAATTGAATGTTTACTTTTTAAATGCTAATATTGCGTACCATGGAAAGGTTTAAAGGATTAGAAAGATTTGTGTATATTATATTTTCTTTTAAGATACCTAAACTCCAATCGTCAGCTTAATTTTTGCATGTTAAATACTTTAACCAAATACTCAAGAAAATCTAATCTTTTCTGGACATCTGGAAATAAAATTTATGGTTTTAATGAAGCGTAAATGACCTTGGTTAACCTTTTGAACAGTCTTTCTCTCTCAAGAACACCTGAAAAAGTTCATCTCTACCTCTGTAATCAATTTGTAATGCTGTGCTGACCAAAGGGCATTAATATTGAATCATTAGTCCACAGATGGGTCCTTCAACGATGATACATTATTTTCCATTGCTAACACTAATGAAATGCCACTTGAAGGTGTATCGGTGCAGAAGAAAGCATTGAGATAAACCAATTTCTGAAAATGTAACCAGCGGTGGTTTGAAGTTAATATCGTGACTGTAATCATCTCCTCTCTCTATCACTACTCTTGAACGTATCGTTTGCAATGTTTATAATAGAAACTGGAATAATATTTTGGATATTGCCATAATTCTATAATACTATAATTACCCTTATTTTCTTCGTCTGTCTGTTATCATTTCAATTATTGTTATCATTGCTATTTCCATTGTTGCTTTAATATAATTAAAGCAATCATTCTCATTGCTGATAACAAATTGCTTAGAAGCATTTTGGTGTTGTATGATTTTGTACGATTTTCGTATTTACATATTGAATGCAGCCTTTAGATATATATGATTTTGATTAGATTTCCTGCTGTAAAAATTTCATTATCAATGTATATCACGATTACAATCATTTTGCCACATTATCATCACATGGATTAATATCATAATCATCATCATTAATAGTTGGAACTATTAAAATTATCGTTTGAGAGAAGAAATGTCAACAGAGTGGCTCAATCAACAAGCTTGAACATGCAACATATTAAGCCTTCCCATGAGAATGCTCTTTTGTGTATTTCAATTAACTTCTTTCATGATTAATTATCGGAATTCTCGATGAATTGCTCCGATTGACAAACACTTACATATGTTGTAACATAATAGTAAGACTAACACACCATGGTTTCAGCATAAGAATTGAATATTTATTATCGATAACGGTTGTTCAAATGATTAATGATGAAGAGATGCTAATAATAAAGACGCAGCATGCAATAAAAATAATGTTTACTGATGTTTTGTTTTATTTTCATTATTTAAAATATTTCGGTATCTTTTTTGATAATTTAGATTATTAACATTCATATTACATCATTTATTAAAAAAATTGGAAAAACACTTCGTTCAATTTTCACCAAAAAAAAAAAAAAAAAAACGCATAACCTTCACATAAAGAGTGATACTGGTAACGGAAATGATTGAAAAATAGTAAAATGAGAGATTATAAGTTCATAGATACATTAACCTTACAACAACACTTACGTTCAGAATCATAAAGAGATAGCATTAATGAATAAATAATGAAATAAGTAAAAGAGATTTTAAATTTGTTGCTACAAATAAAAATTATAATAGTACACAATGTTGAAGTTATTTTATCTGGCAATGCTGGACAATTTTAAATTCATAAAATTTAAATTCATTTCAACCATAAAACAAGTGGTTTCAAAATTCAAATGTTTATCCAAAAGAATTCTTATTCATCTATCAGTGAAACAAATCAACAGAAAAAATCATTAAAATCTTAATCTAATTGAAAATTTTCGATTTTTTGATTTTTTCAAACAATAAAGGATTTTCAGTTGGTTAAAATGATATATAAAAAATATATATATATTCCTTGACAACTTGTTTTATAAAAAAATTTTAACTTTTGTCAGAATTTCTCGGTTCTTTTAGCGTTTCAAAACGATCAACTTCAATGCATCAGTTCTTCGCATTTGGAAACACAAGGACAGAATAATCTTTATGTCGATTAGCAATTTTTAAATTCGAACTCATCCAAGAACTATTATACTCAACCGAAAATTTCACATCTGTTAAAAACATCGTTTTTAAAAATGAATGATATAAAAAAGAAATTTTTTCAGGAAGTGTAAATTGTCCCTAAAATTAGATTTGTATCTTTAATCCTTTTTACAACTTTAAAAATCTCATTATTTACCGACTGGCAGATGTTAATATAAATTCAATTTCCTAATGCGAATGATTGATCAATAGAGAGAAAACATTTTAATTTGAACGGCTTTTCTGAAAAACAGTAAATCAAAAAGTTTGTCATTTCCGTAATGCAAAAAAGTAACTGCATTTTAATTTTTAAGTTTTTTCAACAGTTTTTATCATCTTCATGAAAATCGAAATTTCCTGTAGTTTTTGCAAAAAGAACAGTTCAAGATAAATTTAAAAATTAGAAATATATCAGCATCAAAAATTTTCCCTAAATTCTTCGAAAACCGATATTTTTTTTGGTGTCATCAGAGACGAAACTCATTACTAACGAATTCCTAGCTTTTGAGTGTATCTAAATTTGCTAAATTATTGAATGCATCTTAAAAGGTTGAAAAAAAAAAAAAAAAATGGTAAAATTAATAAAAACGGTGTAGTTTATAAAAATAAGTTGATAAAATTTAATAAAAAAATCACATTTACCAAACATTATTGATAAATTCTTTTGCAGTTAGAGTAAAAATTATTAAAAAAATTGAAATTAAATCTGTTTCAGAATTTGCATTGTCTTTAAAGCGTTATAAATTTGATTCATTTTTATATTGTTAGAATATCTCACTATAGCAAAAATTTGTATATTTGAATTTTTAATTTGTTGTTCATTCCATTTTACCAATGTCAAGGACACTAAATTACATTAATGAAATTAAGAAAGAAAGAAATGGAAAATTGTTCAGTAAAGACTGACCCAATTAATGAAAAATGAGTATTCGGGTCAACTAGAAATGAACTAAGCCTACTTTTCGCTTAATGCCGCACACTGGTAATGTCGTTCTTTCATTTTACATGAAGATCCTTCTATCTTATTCACCATTTTTTCGATGAAAGCAACAGGGGAGAATCAATGATTGCTACGCTTAAAGAGGAAGAAAAACGAAGAATAGCTGAGCTAGATGAGAGTCAAAAGCCTAATCCCTCACGGAATTTCAAATTAAAAAAGAAAAGCATTTAGTATGGTCGGAGTGTCAAAGAATTCCTGAGCTTGAGGAGTGTTTTGTTCCTAATATCATATAAATAAATCCCTTTCTTAGTCATCTCATTAAATTGGCAGCAACATGATTTAAGATGCTCCAAGATTTTATACTACATTTTAATCCGCCATGTTAAACGATGTTCAAGTAATGTTAAATGCAGCATTTAATAATGGATCAAGAAAAAAGCTGGTTCCATTTAAATGAAACAAATTTCCGGATGTAATTTCATCGATCCTTCTTCCTTTACTACAGTGATTCAGTTTTGAATTCTGATCCTAATTACTTTTAGAAAAGATGTTTGCTATTTAATTCTTTTGCTCTTTTCTTTGAAAGATCACAATGCATAACAATGATTTATTTCGTTTCGTTGCAATCGGAAATGTTGTAATAAGTACTCTAACAATAGTTTGCATCACTTCCTTTATTCCAATATTCACGGCTAAAATTGAAAATGAAACAATGGAGACACAAATGATGGTAGAAAAATTCCAGGTTGGCTCATCCATCATCAAGCTATTACTATAAGAAATATAACATATTAACTTTCGCATTCATCTTACTTTATAATTTATGATAACTTATCTTTGCATTGATTATCTTTGTATCACTATTAATTATTCGAAATTAGGAGAAGACAGACGAAATATGGATCAATCTAAGGAACTTAAATGCACAGAGATTTCATGACAAATTGCTGTATTATCGGACAGTGCGATCATTCTGGTATGGTGGAACATGTCGAGGCGGGTTTTCTTTTCAACCTATCATTTAGAAAGCTGTTTAATTGTTTTTACTAATATATCATAAAACAGGATGCTATTCATTGGCATGTCCGTATGGGCCACCTGGACCACCAGGTCCTTCGGGATTAGATGGTCTTCCTGGCAACGCTGGAAAACAGGGCAAGCCAGGTACGGACGGTTATGATATACATTTGAAACCGGAATCTGATCTTCCATGTGTTCTTTGTCCAACTGGTCCACCAGGACAACGGTAACCACATTTTTACATTCATAAAAAAATTTCATTCACCTTCCAGTTGACAAAATAACAAATTTGATATTTTACTTCAGCGGTTCACAAGGTGAACGAGGACGGACGGGCGAACCAGGACCAAAGGGAACAATAGGAGAACATGGAAGGCCCGGGATGGACGGTAATGCTGGAAGGACAGGGATTAAAGGAATGCGTGGGGAAAAAGGAAAACGAGGACCTCGAGGACCAGAAGGCGATTCAGTTGTTGCAGGTTCGGAAACTTATAATTTCCGTTGCTCATTTTAATAATAATCGGTCATCGATCCATTTGTTTGGAATGTAACAAGTACTCCAAAGTATCAACAGTTACAAACCATCAACTTCAGGTAAAGGAATTAAAGGTGCAAAAGGGCCAGCAGGTTCCACAGGTCCAAAGGGTCCTATGGGTATACCAGGAAAACTCTCAAAGCTGCCTGGTGAATCCGGTAATCCGGGTAGCCCCGGTCGTGTTGGTCCGTACGGCAATCCAGGACACAGAGGGGTCGAAGGACCATGGGGACCACCCGGTGAACCAGGTAAACGAAATACCAGTACATTGTAATCATTACTTATTCGGTTGTCTCATCAGTTCAATTACTACCACATGATCTAAATTGTCAGCAAATCTATCCCCAATTTGCTATGTTAATTTCAGGTACTCCAGCTGAATACTGCCCATCAGACTGCGGAATTTCCAAAATCTATAATCCTCCACTCGATTCCGAGCAAGAAAAAACTCCTGACAAGTACAGTAATAAACAAGGATTTGTATCAGACATATGGCCTGAAGCATGGATTTGAATTACTGCAATTAGATCGAAATTAGAAAGAAATCCACACATCATAAAATATATTCCCCTGTATGGTTTTAACAATTTACATACCCACGATAACACAAGCTCAATAAATCTTGATATATCCTTTTGTTCTTTAGACGTAACAACTAAATTAAATCATTAACCACTAAAATCTCTCCATCCAATTTTAGTAATATAGGTGAAATATACTATAAGAAGCAGAACTTATTTGAGCTAATAAATGTATTGCTGTTTTCTTCTTCCCACCCTGTTCAATATAACAACTGTCACATTATTGGGCGATACTTCTACATAGTAAATTTTGATGTAGCGCTTGCAATAAATTTGAAGCGTAAAGCCAAATATCTATTAAATTTCTAGATGCACTGTTATGAAAGAAATCACAAAGAGCAGACGAAAGAATAAAATGAATATTTCTTATCAAGCAATCACATAGAGAGTAAATCAACAATCTTTTAAAAGAAATTGGAAAGAGAGTTCAAGACTGAAAAATACATGATTCGAAGCTGTTCCTGATTATTCAAAATTTTTGCGGTACGTTGTTACCTAAAACATAAAATAGATCTAAGACATTCTGTAAATCAAATAAATCAGAAAAACTTAAAACAAGCCACATGCATCCATCCGGAGATTAGAGCAATCCTAATTTTGACGTACCATAATGAAACTAATCAGTACGTAACTATACTTTCTTTTCATTTAACGAATAATTATTCGTTATTTCGACATGCTTAATTATCCTTTCCTAATTGTGTTCAGAGTAAAGATCAAATTGAAAGAATAAAGATTCTAAAAACCGCAGAAAATTGTACTATTCAAATAATATGATCAAAGAGACAAATAGACAGAGATGCATAGTGAAAGATGTAAACACAGAATAAATGACTAAACACAATATATTTATATATTACAATTCATTTCACAAATGAAAAAAATGAATCGGAAATGCATTTAAACAAATATTAAATAATCAAGAAAAAAAAAAAAAGAAAACAAAATATGTTCCATTTCTAATGGTACAAACATAAAAAAATACTTTAAGTGCTTCATTCAAATTATTGATAACAAAACAGGAAATAGAACAGAACATAAAACCTTACACAAGATAATGAATTGTACAATTCTTTTTTAAAAAATAAACTTTTATAAACATATCAAGAAGAGTTTAACTTTAGCTCAATAGAGAAATTATATTCCATATTTTTTTGAACGAATCATTACTAAGAACTACAAACGTTTAAAAGTCAAAACATCACAGTGTAACAAGCATTTTCAACTTTTCTTCTAATACAAATTTTGAACTAGTCAAGATTAGACAGTCAAAAGTTGCAAAAACAACGTTTTGGGATAAGGGAATTTATTGCGAAAAAATCAATTTTACAACCCATTTTATTTCAGAGCACGATAGTTAAAAGAAAGGAATAAATTAATCAAAAAAGAAAACCCAAAATCTTAAGGGACAGTTTATTAAACCACAAATCTTCAAGGTTCTCAACTCACATAGGAAAAAAAATCAAATATTCCATCTATTTTTTATACCTCATATTCATATCAGACATCAGCTTCAACTAAATAAATAAATATATAATGGCTATGAAAGATGAATAAATAAAAAGTCAGTAGCACTAAACTTTAAGCTAATAATAATGAACAGAAAAATCTTCATTGTAGTACAATATTTTTAGGATAAATTATTAAGCTACAAAAAATGAGAAGCCATAAGAACAAACCTGAAAAGACCGAAAAACAAAATATTTGCCCAATAAAAACCGCAACAGCCAGTCTAAACTGTAAGGACAACAACTCATACTCATCTATACTGAGTTATTTTGGCTTTCTTATTTTCGATCGCATCCAAAATTGGCTGCCTTTTGGTCTGATAGCGCGCTTGCAACTCGCGTAATTCCACATCCATGTCAGCTTCTAGATTTGCTTTTCTTCTCATTAATTCCTCCAGTGGAAGTTCAGCCAACTAAAATCTTCTTACAAATACTCCAACTTTTTAAACAAATACAGATATTGGAAAACAAAATTTATTTTTTGAAGCAAATTTGTTAGAACAAAAATAATTGGCTTTAGCATCATGTATATGTCATTTGATGCCATTACAGCAATGAGTGGATTAAAAACATAGCTGAAACAAAATCGAATTTTGTCGCTGCTTTTTAAAGCGAGATTTTTCTCGCAAATTAAAACCTTATTATGGCATGTGACTTCATGCCATATTTAAATCTACTCGACTTGACGTTTCTTGCTTTTAAGATTTAAAAGTCGCTAACAAAACTGTAGTCGCCATCTAGGTATGCTTTATTAAAATGTTGATCGATATATGAAGTGTCGCAAGATGAATCTGCACTGAAGAATGTTTGCGGCATACCAATACCATTCACCATATCTCCATTACCATAATAAATACCACCATTCATTGGAATTTTCTTATCCCTCTTTTGCTCTTCCATTTTCTGGTTTACGTAGAGCATCTTATGACTGGATAATTCCAGTGACTTTCCTGCAAAGTATGAGCACTGATTAATGAAATCTTGTTTATTTTCTAAGCTACCAATAAATCAGAAAAAGAGTCTATCTGATATTCCACGAGAAATATGCGGTAAAGGTTCAGCAAGCTGATATCTAATTTAAGAATCTTTCTAGTGCAAAATATACCTCCTTCAGTTACTGAATTTGCTTCTTGCGGGTTATGCACGTAACTTGTATCACCTGGAGGACGAATACCAGTTAGTCGCATTGAATTAACCTGCTGCGTAATTGTTTCTGAAGACACCATTTTATAAGGTTCTCCTGAAATTCAATTTTCCATAGATTCAAACAAAATAGAACAACTTTTGAAATCCTAATATACTTTCTTTTACCTCCAAAGTTTCCTCATGCTTAAAATAAGTAAAAAATAAAGTAGTCAAGAAAGTTCATCAACTCAAACAAGACGAGATCCGCATCAAAATGACACTTGTAAAAACCACCTACAATTTCTAGCAAAATCGCAGAAAAATAAGTGACATGTGATATACCACTGGTTGGTGTTGATGGAATATCATGCCGTATAAGTGTCATATCCTCCACTTCACTAGATTCATCACCATGTATTCTTTCATGTATTAAAGTGGAATCACCTGCATCTTCGTCAGCACATTCCTGAATTAACAGAAAATGAAAAAAGTAACTAAAAGAATAAGACTACCAAAAGTTTAATAGTAAAACACCTGGAATTCTTGAACAGAAGAATCAGCGATGCTTCGAGCTTCATCAATCATATTCAACAAAACGGTTGATGGTGATGCGTTAATCACAAATGGATGCTTAAAAAAGCGTGAAATTCATGAGAATCACATATAAATATCTTCGAAAATAATATCCAGCAATCAAATCAGTTGCTATCAAGCGTAATAAATCCCAAACCTCTAAGTTCTAAATCTTTTTAAGAGACAACTAGCGAAAATAAGTACTTCATTTTTTAATGAACAATAGATTAACTGGTGTAAAACGATAACAGATATACTTGAAAAAATACTTTTAACTAGTCCTTCAACATTTACTAAAGAATTCATAAACTTAACATTTCTTTAATTGCTGCCTTTGTGACATGACGTATTTTCATACCTCCAGTAGATCATGGGCTGATTTTCTCTCGTCAGGGTTTTTGATCAAACACTGACCAACAAAATTCACAAAATCTAGTGACCAGTCGGCTTCACGTTTCAGTGTTGGTGGTGGTTTTGTTGGAATCATAAAAATTGCCTGAAGTTATAAGAAAAAGACGTTTACAGATATAAAACATTGCAACCTATGAATTATTTTCAAGCTAACAATAACATCTATATTTTGGTAAAAATGACACTAGTAAAATCTTTACAATCACAAAAATAATTTCCTGCTTTAAGCACGTAGTACAAACCCTCATTGGATGAATATCAGCATGTGGTGGACGACCTTCAGCCATTTCCATGGCAGTAATCCCAAGTGACCAAATGTCGGCTTTTGTATCATAACCAATTTCTTGAATCACTTCTGGTGCCATCCAAAACGGTGTTCCAATAACAGTGTTTCTTTTAGCCATAGTATCCTGCAAAGAAACAGTCAAATTGAAACTTCTGAATTCATTAGTCGTCTTTTATTTCGCGACGATATACCGTTAACTGGCCAGCGACACCAAAGTCTGCTAGTTTTCCATGACCTTCCGCATTCAGCAATATATTGCCAGCCTTGATATCTCGGTGGATCTTCTTTAAATCATGCAAGTAACGTAAACCTTTCAGAACATCCCTGAAAATAAAGAAAGCCTTCTCCGAAACTGTTATCAAAAATTGTTCCGACTAATTACAGAAACTTACTCACCTAGTAACAGCACCAATTTCTGCTTCATTTAATGTTTTTTTACGAATCCTCATAATATCTGAAACTGAACCAGCGCCACAATATTCCATAACAATCTTTAAAATATGAACTCTTAAACATCATAAAAGATTATTCGTGACACTTATCAAAAAATGATTTAAAAAGAAGCAGTAATTTAAATTCATACGATAGAAAATACTGCCCGATATTAGCAGCCACCTCAAAGAAAGAGTTGAATAGTCTTCATCTACACTAATGCTTTTTACATTTCTTTCCACAATACCAACAATAAATAAACTATATACACATAATGAAAAAAATATACCCAAAGGTCGGAGTTTTTGAAGTATGACCCGTAGTATTTAACAACATATTTACTGTCACACTGTTGCATTATACTAATCTCTTTGATAATTTCCTGTAAATCCGTATCCACAGGCACTTTCTTAACTGCGAGCACATGTCCAGTTTCCTTATGAATTGCTTTGTGTACCGATCCATACGACCTGAAAAGCTCTTGCAAATCTATGAAAACATTTAACAACTTTAACTGATACTTCTTACACACATGTATTTGGACATAAATTTTGAATTTTAAATAAATGTATGTGAAATAAAACAAGCAAATATTAAAGCATTAAAAGTAACTTTTATAAATTGGACAGCTATAAAAAGAGCGTGTAAGAACCCCTTTAAGGCTTAAACAATTTATATTTCTCTTGAAAATTTTACTTTTGGCTTATTAAAGATTATAGACTTGCAAGAATCTCATTTTTTTAAACACAGCTAATAATAATTCCTAAAACATTTTCTTGCTAATAATTTTGTTTAAAAATTTAAATCAAGCACAAGAAGTTAACATGGAAAACCAAAAAGTAATATTCCCTAGCAGATAATTATAAAGCCCTAAAAAAGTCCAGAGATATGAAGTCAGACCCTTCGCCAAGTTTCCCGACAATATCGAATACTTCTTCTGGTGGTTTATTCAGTGAAATCGCATCCAATTTGAACCGATCTCTATGAAAATGATAAAAATGAAAGTGGACTTTAAACAGTAAGTTAACTGCGACGGTTAAGCACTTACAGAAACTTTTCAAATTTCATTTGAATTCGAACAATACGAAACCTGGAATTAGCAAGAAAGAAAGCAAATAAGTGTTATTCATTAAACCAAACTTTATATTGGAGAATTCGAACTAAAAATTAACTGAAATGCGACTACCTGGATATTTCAGAGTTGCAATGATCTTCATCATACAGCGACATCACTCTCCTGCAATCTTCATCAATTTCTCAAACAGTTCCCTGCTGAAAACAATAGTTTCCCAGACTACTGTGATGAATAAAGTTACAGCTACTACTGTAAAGCCAATTTTATTCCATGCGCAAAAAATACAAACGAACAAATTCGTGCAAATCGTTTCTTCAAAATACTTCATTACACATTTACGGTACGTAAACAATTAGTGCTTTAAACGACAGATATATTTTAACACCACGTTTAAATGCGAAATTCTTATACTACAATTTATTCAAAATATTATACATGAAAAAATAACGGAATGATAGCGTATCTTTTAATTAACGAACTATGTAAGGCACAGGAAGAGTTATTCTATCGGAAAGAACTGAAGGTCAGCGATTGAAGCGAGCGGTAAGAGGAAAGAGGTGATACCTACTTAGATTGTGCTGCAGAATGTCATCAGGAACGTTAGCAAGAATATTTCCCTCTCAGGCAGTACCTAAAAAGAAATAAATATGAAAGACAGCCAGATATATCTATCATTCCCTGTCTCTCTCAGTGTGAGACAAGTAAAACAATGATTTGTCATCAGTAGTAAACAATTTTTAAATTAAATCGTCTGCTGCCTACTCTTTATCCATAATGTTTCTCCCTTTCCATCTTCCACCCATCAAACCTTCCTTTGTTTTCTATTCTGACTGTTGCTTCGTCAAAAACGAAAGCTGCAATCATAAGCTATTTGGTAATGGCATAAAGAGAAAAGACTGGTTTTTTAATTTCACCGTTCAAAGGAATTGTTTGCCTAACACTTCAATATTTTTACAAAAACTACCACTACTATGTTGAAATGACTCATATCATTGGCGATATCGATAAAATTTGAAGTCATAACTTAGCAACTACAAACTCAAAAATCAATTATCCAAACGCTTCAGCATATCAAAGAAATTAGAAAAATTTAGTTGCGCAAATCAAGCAACTTCAAATTAACCGTTTTATATTACCTAACAATCATTTAAAGTATTGGAATGAATGACCACAACTTGAGAAATGTATGAATTATATATCGAAATGCTATCGGAATTAGAGAAAATTTGTATAAAAAAACCCGAAGTGAAATATTGTGAACGCACATTGTGGGATACCTTTGTTGCACTGAGTTCAATGGTCGTCCTATACGGCCCAGAGTTACAGGGGAAGTTTCCCCTGTTGGGGGTTTCGCACTTTTGTCCTTCCTTGACTGTGCAGCAGACTTGTGATCCTTTCTACCAGTTTTCTTTATTAATTAGTTATGAACTGGGAATGAAATGCTTTCTGGTCGTAATAGGTAACCCATTTTAGCACTATTTTATGACGAAATCTCGAAGACATTCGTACACACCGTAAGTCACGCAGAGTTAGTTCGTCACTATCACTACTATTAATTCGTTTCAGTTCTAAAAGGTTCATATTACTTTCCAGTGGAAAAGTACGCAGGAAAAGTAATATTGAAGTGAGTTGTAAAAAAGAAGGGGTTCTTTCCATTTCTTTCCATAAGGCTGAAATAGTGAATGTGGACAATGCGGGTTTCGGGTGGACACGCTTAGTCTCGTAGTGTTCTGATTTAGCATCACCAAGGGAAAGGATTGGAAATTTGATGAATGTTTAAGTGCAAAGTTATCTAAGTAATATCCAAGGTGTAATCGTTTTGCTCAAGATATTAATAAAATAAAGGTTGGAGGTGGTGCTTCAATTCTTTCTATATATCAATTGGATTATTATGTCTTATAATTCTTATCATTGTCTGGAATCTTTTTAAAGTATCTCTGTGCATATTTGTGTGCAATATTTTCCCATTCACATCACATTATTTTCAATGATTTTCTTAAATCCTTGTAGTACGACATTTTCTTCTCTTTTTATCTCTTAAACTCTACGTTGTGTTTGAACACTTTCGAAAATATGCTATTTTCAACCTATAATTTGAAAGAATTCACAGGGAACATTTATTTTAAATCATGGATTTTATTGCAGTAGCTCCGAGTACGCCACATAGGTTGGGAGTTTGGTTATCGGAAAATTTTCTTTAGATTTTCTCAAACCAAAAGATACTGTTATTGTTATTGCAGTTTTGCTGGTTTCTTTTAAATTTTCCTTTCAAGGAAATATTGACAACTAGGCCGTTATATAAGCCAGCTAAAATTGCATTTGAATTACATTGCTTATCATTACTCGTTGATGTTATCTATGGTCTTCTTAAGATAGTTTTCGTCTTATATTTCTGTTATAACAGGTCAGAATCGCATTGCTTCTACCGTTTTTATTTTTATATGTTTTTGTTTCACATTTTGTTTTTTTTTTTTTTTTTTTTTTTTATCTTATTTCCCTGTTTTTATATATGCACACATTTACTAGAATTTTTTAGTTCATGAGATAAAATTAATTGGGAACTAAAAAAAGTTGGAATTCATTGGCTAAGGCATAATAGACATTTATTGCTGTGATTACAATGATTATCACCAATTCCGGTAATTGTTCAGCATACATAATGGAATTTTATTTCGTTTTAAGGAATGTCATCGTCTCGTTTGCCATCAGATTGTACGATACAGGGGCCATCATGGGATGAATTTGATCGTTCGGAAGAGCTAGATTACAACAGTGGTTCAGATCACGAAACTGATGAACAAGGCTGTCGTTCGAGGAACTTTGATCTTGTCGCACCACCAGGTTAATTTCTGTTACGTTTTTAATAATCAGTAAGGCGCTCACCGAACTACACTTTTGGTTTTTCTTCGCTTTTCTTTGTTCAGAGCTCCTAACTACTTTTTTAAGGATTTTGTGCTACAGCAAGACAAATTCAAATGCATGTGGATGAAGTACGTCTTGCTCAGAGTAATTATCTCGATCAATTACCAAACAGTGTGAACGAACTTGGAACCACAGCATCGTCTGATCAACAACGATACGGTTCATATCTTTGTCTAATATGAATTTAAAGTGTCGACAATTCGTAGGGATTTGTTAGAATAGTTTTCTCGGTTGTAACGAATTTTATTCGGTAACAACTACTTTATACGATTAATGCATGTTGACAATATACTGATAATTCGTATAGGTATTATCTGTGAGTATAGGATGAAGCGTAAGAAATAAATGAATACGAAAAACAAATAAAGGATATAAATGAAGAGAAACAAATGAGGGTGCATGGCCAACCAAATTAAAGCCTGTTGATCCTCAAAAGCTTGCCTAAACAAAGGGTTCAATCCTTATTTAGTAGGCATTGGTTTACAACAAGCACATGATTACTGTCTATCGGATGATCTTTACTCTTTACATAGTAGGAGTTAGGTTTAATAGTATGTCGGTTGCTTATAAGAATGACTGCTAGATTAGAAAAGCTTCTAAGCCAAATCTACAGTGCATGTAGATTTGGCTTAGAACTTTCATCATGTTAAATAATGCACATATTCTGTACTAACAACTGTAACATTCCAGACAATGAAGATAAGCTAACCCTACAACTAAACATGAGTGAAAAAAAAACAAAAACAAATGATTGCTTACGGTACAGAATTCTGGAACAGTTTTATATTTTTGTGAGAGGAATATTCAACTAATATAGTCTTTAGTCCCTTGGATTTAATACAATTTTATTTCGACATATTATAATTCGGTTTTTCCAACAAGAGAAATCTTGGAATAGAAAAAGTTCACACTTCGATCGTTCTGTAGCTAATCTTTTTAGGACCTTCTTTACCTCCCGGCTTTACGAATAGCAGCGAAGAAGATGATCCGGAAGATCCTGGAGATCCAGAAGATCCCGATGAAGGCGATTCGCAATCTGCAATGCCAAATATGTGCTCATTTCGTAAGTAAATCCAAAACGCAACTAATACATTGTTGTGTATTTTATTCATTATTTATCTTATTTTTATTCAGTAGTGGCTTTTAGCGTAAATTTCAGCTTAGTAAGTATTTTAAGGCTTGCTAGATTCTGTAAATTAGTTTTACAGTCCAATTTTCAATGCCGAACAATATTCCGTCTTCATCCTCTCAGTCTTCCTCTTTTGACCCTACCGTACCAAATTCGTCGGAAATATTCGCACCTTCGCTTCCGGAAGAAGAAACAAAGCGTTCACGAGGTAATTTCATTGTGTAGTGGAAATTAGATCATGAATTTGAAAATGCCGATTTACAGATTTCAAAGGAAATATTTTTATATGTTTCCATCACAGCTGTTAAATAATCAGTTTACCTTAGCTCAAGCTTATTCGCTATTATATTCCATTCATCTGATTACACACAGTTTGGCATAATTTCTTTTTGCAGAAAGTTTTTTACTACCTCCTCCGGAACCTGGCGAAGCACATTCTTCAAGTGCAGGCTACTCGTTGAAAAGAATGATTGGTCCATCAATGCCAGATCTGCTACCAACAGTTGCTAATTTAGGAGTTCGTCTTTTATCTTTGTTTACCTGCTTTCGGTAACTTTTCTATTTTTAATTTATTGCATAATATCTTCTTTCTTAGTTTTCTGAGTGTAATTCTAACTTCAGAATGATGATGAAGAGGACAGCAGAGATGTCTACGGCCCAGCGATACCTTACGATTTGCAAAATAAGCCATCTACATCCGGTGGGAAAGACTTAGACGTTGAAGTACCTATTGATGATGAAACTTGTGGTCACGATAATGGTGATACGAGTGGTGTTTTTGGTTCGAGTCTTTGTTTCCATTGTGCCGTTCAAAACAGTTCTTTTGATTTTAAGTCGGTGCTAATTAAATTTCGAGGTTTTTTTAATAATTATTTTGTCAGATTTTTCGTGGTGAACTGAAATGTCAAGTGCTTTAGGTCCAGTTCCTCCTTGGGAACAAAAAGGCAATGGAGACGATGAGTATGCAGAGAGATTAGTGCGTCTAGAGATGCTACAAACGAGTAAGGTAATGATGGATTTTATCTGTTAAAGTGAAAATTAATTTTCACTTTGAAAATAAGTTTTGTTATAATAGTTTTCTTTTTTGACCGAATTTGACGGGTTATGACTTTCAGAGGTCTGCATGCAAACGGCCAGAATGGATGATGCAACCACCGAAGTGTTTCAGTTCCTATGGTTTATCATCAAAAACTTTTTCATTAAGAGAAGACTTTGCTACAGCCGAAAAAGCGAAGCGTGATTGGACAGAAACTCCAGTTGAAAGGAAAAGGCGATTGATAACGGTTGCGTTCTTAAAAAAATCAAAACTTTTGTTTTGTTGGAATTGAGTGAATCGTATATTTATTAGTGAGTTTACTTTACAGTTTACTAAAACGACTATCGTCTTATTTGCTTTTCTTTATGCTACTTATGAATATATTGTCTTTCTACTCTGAAATTCTTGTCAATTTATGAAAAATTTGTAATTTCCTTTGCGTGTTTCTTTACATGCGGATATGCAAGAAAAGAATTATTTTCTCTCGTCTCTCTCTTGATCATTTTAACTGAGTGGCAAACTTACTTGAATTTTTATTTAATTTTGAAGGAGCAAGGTGATCCATCTGGTGCTGGGCCAAGTGGACTGTCTTTTGAAGCACACCGTAATAGGAATGTTAATGCCATTCAGACTCAAATTGCAGCAGCTTTGGGAGTATGTTTATGATTTCTAATATACATTCTTTTATTTAGCTTGCTTTTTTCAAGATCTTTTCCGTGGATATTTTTATAAAGTACTTTTTCAATTTAGAAGATCCTTTTATATTATACTGTTTGAACATCTATTTGATCATCGATTTTGCTGTCGTTTCGATTGGCTTTTTTCTTTTGCAGAAAGATCGTGTAGAGTCATTGGTGGATGTTTACCAAAGAAAGAGAAAACATGAGACCGACGAAAATGTACAGCTTTTTAATGACTACAACAAATAGCATTTTAGTTCTCTTTTATTCCGTGATTCTATTGTGTTATGTTTTATTAGTGTGTCCACCTATTGAGCTACTTGATTAAGGCATCATATTTCAGTAGGGTACACAATTTTTTTTCAACCTTTTTAGTGCTCAAAGGTGTTATTTTTCTAGGGAACGGTTGTAGCAACACGGCGGCCATTTGATCGAAATAAGGATTTAGATGTGAGTTGTTTTAAAATGTTTTTCTGTTTTTTTTTTTTTTTTTTTTTTACTGTGGCTATTTATATGCTTCTATTGTAAAGTCGTTACTTTGAATTTGCTGTAGAATACTAAACTTTTTTTCTTCGAAGTTAATTTCTAGAATCAGCAGTTTGATGTTTTTTTCAGAATCATACTTTTGGCCGAACAGAGAATTTGAGTGCGGATGCGATCAAGGAGCGTTGTGGGCAGCTTAATTCTCGCTTTGCTTCATCTTCTTCACAAAAATTTCTTTAAAATGAACGTACTGGCTATTATAGTTAGTACCGTATAATGTTATGTTGTAGGGAAAACGATAGTCATGTGTCTTATGATGAGGGTATGGACAGGATCTGCTGTTCACTTTGGCATATTTTGTGGTCTTTTATTTCTTGATGTGAATACCTCATTATATAAAAATCAGCTTAACGTTGTTTATTTTTCTAGAATTATGTGTGTTTGCCTTTTAAAAGGTAGATTTATCGTTATGTTTCAGTCTGAAAGAACAAATATTGTTCCCAACTGACCTGGTTAAATAATAAGTTTGAGCAGATAAATCTGAACTGTGATATTACGTCATAACTCATATCTCGAGAAAAGATGCATCGCATATGATATAGTTTATTGAAATATTCAACATTTCTAGACAGTTAATCTGTATGTAATGCATATATCATGGTAGCCCATGTATCAGGTGTTATACCGATCTATATATTCAAAACTTTGTGCCATGAATGATTCGCAATATACCATAATCATATGACTGGTAGTTCATGCAGCATTTCCCAAGACATGGCATATTTGGCAGTTAGTAATTTGCATTCAGAAAGGTATTGATGAAGTCATTCGAGCTTTGGTATATGCATCATATACTGCATACTTTCCTTTTTTTCATAATACTTTGAATATAATTGTTAATCGTAAACTGATACCATTTTATCGTAGTTCAGGGAGTGTGGTTTCCATTATGAAAGATGCAAGGCAATGGTATTTGAATTTGTTGTACTGATGGGGAAGATGATATTGCATAGATATTGTTAGGTTTCTTTAAGTGTACAGTTTAAATAAAGAAATATTTATTGCATTAAAGCAAGCATTCTTTATATTCATTATAATAATGGACCATCATATTAAGTGAAAAGTCCACTGCTGTTTTAATAATGTTGAAGACAATGTGACATGTTAAACAAATAAGCAGGTTGTTATGTGCAGTTTTAATTTTTCCTCTGATATTCCGATATATCTTTCCAGTTGCTTCTTATGGTTGGTTTATATGAAAATTAGCAAAATTATGAGAATAAGCGATCGGTTATAGTGATGTTACTATCCTTAATGCTTACTGGACTGAAGCGAACGAAGTGGAGAATATTTTTACTATGATAAAGTTGATTTACTTATTAACTGATTACCTCACTGAATCGTGATTCGTCGAAAGATAACATTCCTCCCTTTTGTGCTAGAATTTCGATTATATTACACCAAAGTGACCAGGAATTGTAATTTATTTAAATGTTTTTCGAAGAATCGGAACATTACGAACATTATTGGAATTCGTATCACTATTTCGTGGACCATCCTGTTTGACGGATAAAGAACCACTGTCCTGGAAACCGCTATCTTGTCTAGATGATTGACTGCGATAGTCATTTTTGGATTCTGAGCGATACTCTTCACGTTCACGTCTTTCGTGAGAATGAAATTGTTCTGAAATCTCAGCAACCATGATCAAAATCTACTGTAATTTCCCTTTTCAACTTTAAGCTATTTTTTGAAAGAGTTTCACAATGGATTTGCTTAGTTTCACTCATAAACTATAGAAAATAATCTTTGAATTCCATAATGCATAAGCTGACATGGTGAAATGAAAGTAAGCACTCCAGCGTCTCTACATTTACTTTTACCCTATTTAAATTTAAATACTCAGGATCATTAATTCTTGTAAGTAAACTGAAGTTGAAAGCTTTTCTATTAAAACAATTTGTATTCGTTGAAAGGTAGCGACCAGATGCTTTTTTTTCGGCAGCTCGCGAATTCATTCCAGTTTCAGTGATTGGAATGCTATGTTCGCGATAGGTACCGCTTGGTGAGCCACCGGTAGTTGTCCGACTATGCTGGTAAGAATAGGAACTGTGTGAACGATGACTAGGTATTGACTGCTGCTGCACACGCGATCCGTATGAATCTATAAGAAAGGGAAACTGAAAAACTCCTGGATTCTTTTTTTCTCGAAGACAGTCTAAGGTTTTGAAAAAATTGAAGAACTCAGATGTGTGTGCTTTTTTTTGTGACCTACCCATTTACGTTCTCGTATGCGCACCATGCGGAGAACTAGTGACCGAGATCTAAGGAAGTCTACATAGGATTATAAAAACTACCGGAATCTTCATGGCTTCGGGTAGTATCATTTCGTGGCATGCGGACTTCACTACGCCGTGACGATCCTTCTACTGGAATTATACGTCCACGTCCTTGAATTGATGGCTGCTTTTTTGCTTCAACAAATAGACGACCCTATAACTGCCACTGATAAACGTGTTATTTTATTGATTAGCGATAAAATTTTAAGTCAATTTTTTAAAATGAACGTAAAATGCTTGCTGCTTTTAAAATTCATTACCTGGAATATTTCTTATCATTAATTCTGTCGTAACAAATTTCTCAATTTTTATAATCTTTGTCTTTTTTTACGTTTTTTTTTTCTTTGTTTCAACATTTGCATTTTGAAGTTGGGGCGAAAATTCTTGTGAAAACTAGTTATCATTCATAGAAAGTCAGGTAGGAATTGGTCACTATAATAACTGTAATCAAAGAGGGAATTACTGATGATAAACAGCTTGACGAAATGATAATACACGTCAAAACTAACTGTACTATCAATGGTGCTTGAAATATCCATGGGATTTACGTCTAACGGTAGCTGATACTTGCGCACGAAGTACATCTTTGTGAAATTATCACGATCACGAACGTCCTCATGTCGACCTTCGATCAACAACGTATCATCTATTGTTTTCACCTCAAATATGCAATATCATTCAACTATTGCTTTAGAATACGAGAAACAAAATTAAAGGTTTTCATATGGTTCCTTATTAAAACTTCAATTTATCACCACTGAGATATGGGGACTCGGAACAAATTTTACTTTTTTTTTATTTTAGGAATTACAAACAACTTCATTTTTTCGAAAAATCCAAATGAAATCAAGAAGAAAACCTGTATCTCTTCCGGTCGAAATTGATATGCGTCAATTTCTACGACAAAACGTGACGCATCATTAATGATATTGGTACGAATATCAATACCTTCTTTGAAAATTGGTTCTGCCCAGCGTGGGTACAAATCACGCCAAAATGGATCGGAACGCCAATTTCGATCCAAATGATCGAGACGTGAGGAAAACTGAACATTTCAAGAATTTGATTAATTTCGAACGCGATATCTCAGTCATGTCAAAAGAATGATTCAGGTTCACATTAAGTCATTTTGTTTCATATTATTTATAAGAAGCAAAATATAAGAGACATCACATGAAGAAATCAAACTTTGATTATATGATGTAAACATGAGATTGTCCCCATGAAAATTTTTTGAAGTGCTATCTACAACATTGTTCAGGTTTCACAACCGGTATGCAGGTGGTTGGAAAAGGAATAAAAGAAAGGCTTTTATTTATTTAAAAACAGTTGTAACTAAAGAGATGGAACTGTTACAGTTCATTGTAAAATGTATAGTTGTGACATATTTAGTTTGCTTTCCCTTTTCTGCTCTTGAATATTTCAAGTTTTTATTCTTGATAAAAAATTAAGCTATCAAATCAGTGAGCAAAAAAAGAAACACGTTCAACTTTCAACTAAACATACCCTTGGCATTATAGCATCCATTCGAGGCCAATCTGATGGCCAATCCCAGAAGCCATCCCGATCAAAATCGGATCTCCACTGTAAAATATATTGCAAAGACGATGTGCAAATAAACAGTTCAGAAAATTTTAAATATCACAGTGAAATATATGAATGAAAAGGTATATAAGCTGTAAAATAAAAAAAAAAAGAAGCAAACAGTGACATCATTTTCCATTTTTGATATCTTATCACTGTGACAATTAATGACAGTAATACAATAATTAAAACAAATCTATATATAAATGTCCTGCCAATGGAAATATATCTGATATACGAATACAATACATAAGTGCTAATTAGTGAATGATTACAACTATTCCTACATCTGTCACACGTATAGTATGAATTTGATCACATAACAATAATAATGCTATTTCCTCCTATTCGGTAAATGATTGATTCCATTTTACCATAAAAATAATGTCACGTTGGCTTTTCTTTTCTTTCTCAAATTTTATGGCAACCCCAAATTTCTATCTTTACTCATTAGCTTCTCATTTTTTTTTAAAAGGTGGCGTAATTTTACTCGAAAAGAATTAATGCTTTCAAATTGTTCTTGACAATTCCGGTTTTTCTTTCTGTCCTATTTTTAATTCATGAAGTTTATTTAAATGAATGCCCCTAATTCCTCAATGTCAATTCTATTCCAACTTGTATATCAAAGTCGCATTTTTGAAAGACAGTAATTGTTGAAAGTAGTAATTGTAACTTGTTTAAAATATATTAAAATATATTAAGTAAGTTGCACTCCAACCTTTTGATTTAAGAAGTGCGGAAATAATTTTCAAGTATATTAAGTCATTTGTTGCTACAATCAAAAAATGAACTAATTGTCGTGCGGACAAAATGTAAATGAGTCGTTAGACATCCGTAATCATAACACTGTAAATTGGCATCCGAAAACCAGTCATCCGAAATATTATGAGAAATGGAAATAGAATAAAATTAGCAAATAGCAATAAAACATGCAAATATTATGAAATACTTATCAGAAGAGATGAATCAGATAATGAAAAAGGTAAAGAGGAGTTATGGGGAGATTACAGGTAAGAGAAGAAAGGAGCAGAAGGTGAAAGACATAACAATAAATTTTGAAAGAGTTCAAAATATTCCTCGCCCATTTAAACTAAATGACCCTCAATCATCTATTTCTCCGTCACCATCATTACTCTTTCTATCCTGCGACAATTATAATATTCCCAATTAATAGAACGTTTCTTCCGTCCAAATTTCCACGTATACGCGCATATATATATATATATATATATATATATATATAACTATGCAATTTTAATATTTTCGGGAAGTTTCACTTAACCACTGATTTAAAGGAGAGAGAGAAAGAGAGAGAGAGAAAGACAACACTCCTGTCTTTCCATGATATGAATATTTCAACAAAAAAGAGATTATTTCCGCTCTCAGCAAAACTGATTTCACATCATACTTATATAAAACTTTGGTTTCTTTTTTGATTTTTCCAAAAAAAGAAAAAAAAGTTTCAGAAACAGGGCAAAATGATTGAAAAAGAATAGATTCCAATAAATGATACTTTAATTTTTATGGGATCCTGAAATATCTTTAAAAGAAGTATTTTTAAATCCAGTGTAATGATTGCTAGATAATGGGAGAGTCTGTAAAAAAGGAAGGAAAAAAAAAGTAAAGTTGGAAAATTAAACTTGTCATAACATAAAGTTGTTCCGTCTGTTAATCGGTTATTCGTTATTTAAAATTACTATCTAAAATTTGTTATTTAATCAAGAAAAACTATTTCGCATAAAAAAGACTTTAATGATTAAAATCATTTAAAAGCTTGTATATCACAAAAATCGTTTTTTTGAGCGCATTGAAATGGCGCGTTTATTTTTCGAGGTCATTTGTTAAAACTATAAGATATAATATTAATTCTCTCTAAAGTTCTTAAAATGAGATTTTGCATTAACACTGTATCAATTTCGAATTTCGATCATTTTCTAAAAAAAAAAAAAAAAAAAAAAAAAAAAAATTCAACGAGGACTTACATCTGTTATCACACATAATTAAATGAGATCAATTTTTACTTTGTAATTTCATTACTTCCATTTTGAAAATTCGTTTCGAAATATGTTCGAATTAACAACATGAAATTTAAATGCACTGTAAACATTTCAAATAAATTATTGTTTCATTTCTATAAATCAATTTTCATTGGAAAGAAATTTTACATTCTGCCTTTCTTCTCAGATTTTGATACTTCAACCCAAAATATAAGTGTTGTGATATAATGACATAATAAACAATGAATATCTCGTCTCCCGCATTTAATCTTCAAGAATTTTATCTCATAATGTAGTTGTAAAGAAAAATTTTTAAAAACTCAATACACATTGGATAATATAAAAAAATGGAAAAAAACAGGGAAAAAGTAAGGATTGTAAAAGAAGAAAAAACTTTGAGCTATTCACATATTTTTTCATTCCTTGCTTGAAGAAGGAAAATGTAAAAAGTGGGAGGATTGGATGACTAAATGAATAAATGAATGAATGAATGAATCAATCAATAATGAATTGTAAGCATAACAAAAGGACTGAAACAGGAAGAAGAATGTCAGGAACAAAAAGCGCACTGTGAATTTGATATTTTCTATTTAGGAATGAAACGAAATTATTATTTGTAAATTCTTTCGTGGTATCACTGGACGAAGTGTTGGCTGATGGAAGGGACGAGTTCTATTACATTTCAATTAATCATGCATTTTATTATATGAATGAGCAAATATAGGATTTAAATAAACTTTGCAGGAGAAATTTCCAAAAATTATACAGAATCAATCATCGAGGAAGTTTATTAAGATATAGAAAGACAAAACAAATAATTTTTGTGGACGCTTTTGTAAACAGAAATCATGTTATTTTAAACTTTAATTTTACGAATTGCATTTCTTAATGTTGAAGGGATGGTGTTTGTCTATCTGATACTATAGTTCATTTTATTCACTTAATAAATCCTTTAATTGGTTTTATGTAGTAAATAAATCTCATTAAATTCCTTAATTACTTGACACTGATTCCCCGTAATAAACAAATCTACCCTCTTTCTTTCTACGAAATCAACAATAAACACAATACCGATACCTGCACATTATACAAAATACTTCCTAAAGTACAAGAAGCACAACACATGATAGCTTTCAAGGATCATAGTAGATTATTTTGCCTACAAGACATCATGCACACGAAAAGATTAAAGTGCTGTTATCATATGATCAAAATCATTTAGTTACAAATTCATTTAATATTTCTGATAATAAATGTTCACTCGAAATAAAAGTAAAGAGCTTACACGTCGCACAACTTCACCAGGTCGAGGCCAGTCCAATGGCCAGTCATCCCAGTCACGGTACCAACGATCGCTATCCCAGAATGAATCTCGAGAGCGCTTCATTGTACGATCATTTCGCCATTCATTTTCAACGAGCGTCATTTTCTTATAACTGCTGCAGGAAATTAATAGAGAATTATTGATAATTACTAATCATGCGATACGTAAAGCACATAATTTAAAAACTAAGTTATCATTGTCATCGCTTCAGATTAGTTAATTTTTGCTTTTAAAATTTAGAGAAATATAATGAATCCGATTATTATTATTTTTTTATTTTTATTTTTGACAACTACATCCGTTGATAGTAATAATACAATCAAAACTATGTGACAAATTGATGTGAACAACTAGTATCAAAGTCATAAATAATGAAGAAGAGTACCGATTAGAATATTTGACACCATTAATTATAAAATGAAACGAAATATGATGAAAACGGTAAAAAGGATGCTTGCAAAAGTTAAAATAACTTCCAGGAAATGGGAAATTGGAAATACTGTTGACACACTTTTTCCTCTATATCAATTCCTCCTTTTTCTCCTGTCTTTCCTTTTTCTCTTCCTTTTCTCTCTTATGTCCTTTTCCATAATAACGAATTGTATTCAATGAAATGTGCCATACAAAAGTTATTGCAAATATATGAAAGTAGCAAATGAAAACAGGTCCTCAAGAATGGTCTTAGTATCAATTGTTTTCTGTGAATTTATTGTGGTTAAAAATGAAGGTTAAAGATTGAAGCGATTAGGTATTGTTTATCAGTGCAATCCGAGAGAGCAGAGTTTAAAGAACAATCATCATAACCTATGTATACTAGTAAAAAAGTAAAAGTAAACTTGTGATTATTTGCAGTATAAGTTGATTCCAGAAATATTTACTCATAATTTTCCATTATATTCAAAGGGCATGAATCATAATTGATGAGGTGTTACCATGGAACATTACCTATCATTATCAACATTGTTTATATTAATGTTAGAAGTGATGTATAAAAAAAAGGAAGTTCTGAAGATATTATAAATCTAAGAAAAAGCAACATAACATAAACGCAACATAAAAGCAAAAATTAAAATTTACTAAATTTGGAGATGTTTTAGAGATGCAATGAATTTTTTGACATGATAGCAGCGTTTTGGATAAAAAAAAATCACTTTTGAACTTAAGAACTTTCACTTTTATGACAATTTTATGATGATTAAAAATAGGTATTAAATGATAATTTGAAATAAGATACAAAGATATAAATGTTTCGATGAAACTGAAACAATTTTAAATGTAAAATACATTGTTGTTGCTGTTATTGTCGCTATCATTAATTTTAGGGAATTCAGCAGTTATCCTTTCAGGTTGGGAAAAAATTGAACTTTGGTCTACAAATAGGGCATATTCCCTTACGAAAAATATAAATGTTACAGAGCAAATAAAACCAGTCAAAAGGATAAAATGCAAATAGTATAATAATTACAAAGTTGCATTATCAATTTTTCATCCTAAACAAGTAACTGACGTATTTTATTACGTAACACGTCAGACATGAAGCATTGACAATATCAAATGCTCTTTTGACAAAAAGTGATGTTAGCCTTATTTTCAAGATTAACTTGCTTTCTTCTACCTTATCGTCATAATGGCCTGATAAGGTACTTACTGTATTAGCTAGCACTAAAATAAAAATCTTGCCTCTATTGCTAAATAGTCAAATAAGCGAAAGTCCAAAGCTTCTCACTGGCACGTATTCCGAGCTATTGGCTTAATAAAAGTAACTGATGACTGAAAACTTGCCTATAAACTTATCAAATTGTCACTTAATCATTCCACATTGTCTTTTGGAATTTGATGAACAATCTTACGTTATTTGTCCTTTCACTTTTTCCTTGTCATTTATATACGTTTTCCTCAAATGAGTAACTGGAATAATAGAACAGAGTAAAGTACAGAACATCGAGAAGAAAAGCATCTCCATTCAAGTTTTCAAATTTCTCGTAATTTCTAGACTTCACAACTGATGATTCATTGGGCTCTAGAAAAATCTATAAAACGCTCTTCAACAGAAAAATCTCATTTTTCTACGCCTACAATTGCTGTACTTTTGCATTTATGATGACTCATTCATTTCCTGGAAAATGGTTACATTTATTTCCAGTCAAAACAATTTTGGAATTATTTTAAAGATTTTCCCAAAAATTTTCTTAAAGTGTTGAAATTTTTGGTATGATATGACATAAACTATGTAAAGTATTATTGTTCTGAGGGAAAGTTTCCTTCCTTTCTCCCTCAAAATAATATTTTAGAAATATTTTCATAATAAATGATACATCAATTCATCTTTCTCTCTCTCCTTCTCTCTTCTACATTGTCGAAATTATTGAAGCTGAAGATTACACACTACTAGTGATTCATTGAATATTATAATACACTTAATCTAATTGAAAAATGCAAAAAAAAACCCAAAACTTCGAAATCTTATCAAAAGATATAATAGCGTTTTTTTTTTTTTTTTTTTCAATATTCGTCCATTTACTATATTAATTTTTTTAATCCACTCACGTTTCTCCTCAAAACTTTGTAATTTTAAAATTTAGTTCCAATTTTGACAAATATTGAAATTTTAACAAATAATGAAGGACACTTCTTTAGGATATAAATGACGCAGTTCAACTTCTGCCTTTCTCTATTTCATTCATTTGAAACATAACAAATTTTAATTGAAAAGGAAACTTTCGAAAGAATAGCACATATGCTCAACTTAGTTTTTTAATAAAATGCAATTTAGATGAATAAATTATGTGATGAGATGTGGCGGAATTAACAGACCATAAAATATGAATATGAAACAATCAATTACACCATTTCCGCCCTTTCTCCGTCCTGAGAGATTACAATGTGTTTCTTAGATGATCACAAGTAATTCGACTCATTTTCAATATTGCCTTGTTTATTACTAATAAATTTCACTTTTACCAATTAATTAAAAGAAAGTTTTCACTAAACAAATTGCAAAATAAGCAAACTTCGCCTTTCGAATAGGACCAAGTGATAAAGATGATTATTCAAGTGAAGACTGAATAATGAGATAAAAGAAAGTTAAGCTGAGAAAAGTTAAAGAGAAGAAATTTGCAGATTGCTACCTTTAAAAGAAAACGTGATAAGAGATTGACTTTTAAACTAAATACAGTGGGAATTTTGAATGTCTACCTTAGCAAGGTTTCAACTTATTGGGTAAAAGAAGTCAAGAATACAGGGCATGCAATTAGTTGAGTAATAACAAATGTGATTCTAAATGTACTTTAAAGCTTTCCAACAGAGAATTGAAATGGAGAAGATTGAGCAAAATATATGATTTCAAGAAAAAATGAAAAAGTGTTCCAACTTTAACTGTTTCCTATTGATTTTAAGAAGCATTTGTATTGAAACTGCGACAACCAGACTCAGAGCATTTGTCATCACCGTCATCTACCACCATCGTCACTTTTCTCGTCTTCTATCAAATGAGGTTTATGTATCATACTGAAAATAAATATTACCGAATTTAAGAATGAACAGAAATTGTTAGAAGTTGAGATTGTTGAAAATTTGAATTATTGCAACAATATCTTTCATTTCAGAACGACCAAAATTATAACAAATTAAAATCAAATTATTTTCCGGTAAAATATTATTCAAAGTGAAATAATTTTGGACAATACAATTTATAAAATTTATTAATTATCATATTGATTTTGACGAAATATAAGAATTTATTCTATTAGAATTGAAATTTCAACAACTCAAATTTTGATGAATATTTACATGTACAAGGCTTGATGCAATGCATTTATTATTACTTGTAAAAAATAGGTGATTCTCATGATTTAAAAAGAAAGTTTTCTTATTAGGGATTTTGAATTTATGAAAATAGGAGAAAATGTAGTTTAGTCGTAAATTAAAAAAAAAAAAAACAAGTATATGATTTCAACAGAATGTATACAACGATAGTAAAAATTTCACCATTTTTTGCGATTTAGATCGCATTTTGTAAAGGTACGATGCAGTAGAAATGTATAAACATAAATCATTCTACTATAAATGCCAATCCATTTCAGAAATGACTGAAACGAAACTTTTACATTTTGAAATTTAAAATTTTTTTTTTTGCTTTTACTGATTTGTGGGAATTTTTTAGGACATATTTTTCAATAAAATATTTGTGTAGAACTTTTGTGACAGTTTTCGAGAGATTAAAACTAATATCTCCTATTAATAGAACAGAAGATATCGATTAAAATTCAATAGCAGAAAAAAAACCCTAATAGACAAGAAACTTTGATGGAAACATAAATTTCTATACACTAATCCATTTGTAGAAGAATATATGAGTTGAAGAAGTATGATTGGCAATTTGGTAATAATATCACTAAGCTGTTCAATTGACTAATTTAAATTATTGTTTTTAATTTTTATTAAAAAAAGAACTAATATCCAGCGATGTTTATTATAAGCCAATTCCAATTTAATACAAACATATTTGTCTGGCTTAAAATTCAAAACATAGACGAATTGGTAAAGATATATCTCTCATATATTATTTGAATTCGGTTTACGCTTTACATATCTGAATTTAATGCAAGAGAATAAGTTAAAAACAGAGCTTCTCTAGCTTTAACATCAATCACTTCTCTTTTTACGATATGCTTTAGAGTTAATGCATTTATTTATGCAAACATATTTACCTAATTTGTATTTACATTAATGTACGCACATCCATCCCTATTTGATGAGGCAATCATTGGAGCAATATTATGCAGTCAGGAATGATTGTTATTCAAATGCGAAGCAATGATAACCTGCAAGTATAAATATTTTTGTGGTCCAAATTATTGACCAATATATCCCGAAATTCACAAAATGATTTCATAGGAATTTTTCTATAATAATCATCAACTCAGTCACAAATACTTCATTAATCGAGCATTAAAAGATAACATTTCTGACGTCAACTTTAAGATAATTTTGATAATGATGTAACCAAAAAAATCAATAACATCTAGAAATTTTGATAAAGTAAATCGCTGCACCCAAGGGTTCTAATATGTCTTATGCTACAGTTAATCTACAAGCAATTT